CAAAATAATTCTGTCTCTTTGTAGAGATTAATATTTTCCTATAAAAATGTTTAGGAGAAATTATAATAATCTTCAACTATGTATAATAATATTTATTTTATTTTGATTATTAATTTTAATGATTAAAAATATTATAAAAGTTTCATAAATATTAAAAATATTGTAAGCAATATTTAAAAACAACGAAAGTCTTTTGTCAGTAAACCTTAGTAATGCATGAAAAATGAATTGTATTTTTTATAAAATAATTTGAACTTTCAATATTAAAGATAGAATATCGTACATATTTCTCTATAAAAATCCCCATAAGAATTGTAATAGTAATCTCCTTAAACTACTCGTAGATAACATAACTACATAATGTATAGAAGCCCCACGATCGGTCAGTCGCTAAAGAATTATAACAGTAATCTCTAACTATATGTAATAACACTTTATCCGACGTGGAGTGAAGAAATCGGGCATTACTCGCAACCGAGGTTTTCTTCCGCAAATTATAGATCGTGGACATGATCGCCGATGGCGAAGGGAGTATGAATCGCTCGGCTCGAAAACAGTTATCCCGCATGCCGGTCATTGATTTCATCGCGCCGGACGGCCGTTCGTCGTTACGAATTCGAAATTACTCGTCGATTGTCGGCGAGCGATGTGCGACGCAAAATTTTCAAGTCGCGAGTAGTAGCGGCCAGTAAATAGTGGGACCGACGAGTAGTCATCCTCCGTTATCGCCGGGCAATTTAATTATCATCAGTCCACGTCTAACAAGACACTAGAAGACAATTTTGTCTTTTCAGAAATCAAATGGAACTTTGATGATAAAGCTTGCGAACGTCATTGTTGCGATAAATAAATTGGGGACAATGATATGTGTCTTGTAGATTGATAGATAAGTTGAACGAGGATCGTAGTAAAGTTATAATCTTCTTGTACGCGAGAATAGAAATTAATTAACAAAATCGAAGGGATGTAAAATACGACTGCGTAAAAATTGAATAAAGAGTCTTAACCGGCTGGATCGAGTTATATCTAAAAGCCGTTCTAGGATTATTACTCCCTCGTGAAAGGTTTAACCTCGAGCTCTCGTGTACACGCGATAACGGAAATATTACTCGGCTAAGCTTGAATACTCGCATAAGTAGTCGTGTTCGTGCGAATCTATCGAAGTTACGGACAAATGATTAATTAGGCCTCTCTGAGCGGCTGAGCTGATTAAGGCAAGGCAAGATATTGAGATATTATCTCCGTGTAAAGAATAAGAATCTCGTTATATTAGAGGTTCGATAAAGTTCAATAAAAAGGTCCAGATGAAGATAGGATATTGAAAAAAAATATTGAACAATTAATTTCCCATTCATTGAATAAAGACTTATTGTGTTTTATTTGTACTATTAAAAATTATGGGAAGAAAGTTGTTAACTTGACTAAACCGTTCAACTAAATTATTTTCCTAATTGAAATATTTAAATCTTTAAGTTAAATAGATGTCATGTTAGATTTAATATGTATTATTTAATTTAAATAGTAAAATATTTCAATTAAAAAAATAATAATTTAGTTAAATGATTTAGTCAAGTTAACGACTTTTTTCTCAGCGAAATAACGATAAATACGAACCAAAAATTTAAGGCACATATACAAACAATATTTTAGATTAAAATATAATTTAATTATTTATATGTACCTTTTTTACAATACATTAAATCGTAGCTTATTTAACCACGTAAATGCAGATTCTGGTTTTAAGGGATTGTCCATGGGATGCGCGATGGGGAAATATTGATGCGTCGCGTTCGGTAGACCGCTTCGTAGAGAACAAATCGATACATACACGAGACCCGTTCTCCACGTCCTGTGCGCTCCGACTCGCTTCGGTCTACCACACGTGAAGGCTTTGGTCGTCTGGCTTACGGTACATTGTAATTATGTTATGGGCCCCATTGCCCAGCCCCGTGGGTGTGCGGGAGATTATTGTACCGAAAAATCTCATCGTCTCTCTCGGCGAAATAATCTCTCAAAACTATTCTCCTCTGGACGCTTCGATATTTTTTTGCCAAACGTTCCGTTAATCCGAAATTAAAGGCTCGAATATAATCTAAGAATAACATTTATATTGAGTTATTTTCAGTATGTTTTTTTTTCGCAATTGAAACGAGGAGATTAGATTTAATTTTATTTTTAGATTAAAGTAAGAAAACTAGGGATTGGATTTACGGTAAATTTTCTCTTCTCTCTTTTTCGTCCTGAATATAAGCAATGCACATTAGAGCTCCATATAACTGTCTTTATAATACACAATTTAATTTATAAAATATTTCCCAAGAGAGATTTAATTGATTATAATTTTTCGCTGTTAATTTCCATCACGAGTTTCACACGTTATTTTCTGTTTAATGTGTAATTCATAAATTAGGGCAATTTTTGCGTACAAAAATTATAGTGAACCAGATGAAAATGTTGCGGCGAATTATTTGATTGCGCATATTTATTAATCGTCGAATCCTTGCCGTATACAGCGACTGACCGCACATAGCGCTCGTATACATCATTAGATAACAGAACCGACGCGAAGGGAACGTGAAAGGTCTCTGGTTCACGGCGTGGCGACCGGTATCTCGCCGGTATCGCTTCGTCGCCGCGAGTGGGTTCTGGGTTCTGGTTGCCAGGCAGCGGAGACGGCAACCCAGGTGAAGAGAGAGATCGTTCCTCGTTTCCTCGTTGCTCAACCACCTCGATTGCGGTCGTGTACGGTAATTACAGCGCCCGGTAATACACGCGCGACGCCTTATCCGCACCCGCATATCGTTACTTATTACGCGGCATTATAGAAGTTGAGATTATGGGAGTCAAATCAATCGGTACTTTTGAGTGTCCTTTTTAGCATCCTTTTTGTCTCTTGGAAACTAAGCCGCGAGAATACGTCTTAAAAGTCTTCAAATCGTTTAGTGAATTGAAAATTATTGGCATTACATCTTGGATTATATAATTATATTTTGTAATGATTGTCTATCTTATTTCGATTGTATAATGTAGTTGTTATTTCGTTAGATCTTCGGTATACTTTAAAAAAGGGATTAAAATTTAAAAAACGAGAAAGTTAAATATTCGTCAGATTAATCTCTTTGAGATTTAATTTTAAAATTTTTATCTCATTTCGTTTTTTTGATTCAATTTTCAAGATTGCTCTGTTAAAGATTAATCAGTAATCATAATTAAAATAGCTTTAGTCTGGAAATAAATCTGTATCTTTGAAATAGAATTTTTGGAATATTTATGAAAAAGTACATATGTACAATCGCTTACATTTATTTCTCGATGAAATAAAAATTACTATTTGTCCGTCTATCTATTTTCAGTCAAAGATAATTACGTGAGTGCGTGATTAGGCGATTACGTAAATATTAAAATACTCGGCGTGCACGACACATGATTTCCCAAGATGCAGAACGAGGCCTGATTAAGTGACTCACGTATAACATTGAAAATTATGGCAGTGACATTGGTTTGTGATGTTCAGATATTAAAGGAGAGATACATCACCAGTATCACAATTCATATGATGATAAATCTAGTTGATTCGTAATTAAGCGCTCTCGTAAATTTAACATGAAACTATTATTTATTTAACTTTTCAATCGATATTTCGATTTGATATTTTGACCAGATTTAGCTATCAGATTATCTTCTAGTACTCCGAAAATATTTATATCGCGTTTAAATATTTACAATGTATTATTTCATCAAACTTTATAAGTGAAAGTAACGAAAAAGATTTTATTGTTCGAACTTTCTATCTCGAGTACCCTAATATTAGAAAGTCGATTACACGAAAACGAGGCTCGATTTATAGCTCGTGGGTCGCAGGTCGCGGCTGACTGGTGGTTTACAATACGCGATGCTAGTCGATGGCTTTTTTCTGTAAACGAGTTCTCGTCGAATCGGAAAACGCGTCGGCGGTGACGGAAAACCGGAGAATGGCTAGTCGAAGATAATCTGTCGCTGTCACCACTTCGTGTACACACACTCATCGTCGCGAAACAATATTTAAAGTATGCAAGCCGCGTCAGACAGCGCAAACAGCCATGACGACTTTAATCACCACCGCGCCTCGAAGTTGGTCTACATGATAAAAGCGATCGGTTCCCACCCACGTTCTCTGGGTTTGAGCTGCGCATCTTGATCTGTGCCAATTTTGGAAATCTCATTATGAGATAAGAGAAACAAGTTGAAGTCATTACAGTCTAATCGTTCCATGTAAGCTTAATTTCTCGAAGTAAAATCGTTCAAATATACATTTCTTTATTCATTATTCATATACAGCTTATTTACTCATTCGATTCTATAAGAATATTGAATTTATTTGTTGAATTATTTATTAAATATTTGAGAATTTATGATATAAAATAATAAAATAATAAAAATATAATTATAAAAAATAAAATAATATAATAAATAAAATGATAAAATAATGAAAATATAATTATAAAAAAATAATGCTATGCATCTAATTTTTATTCTCATTTAATCTACGTTAGAGAATTTTATGTCGTCTCAAGTAGATCATTCAAAGAAATCTGTTCTTCGTTTATTTTGTATTTTATTGTAATTCCTCCTTTTTATCTGAAAATTTTAAACCTCTTTTTTTTTAATGCAGAAAGAGAGCAAAGAGAAATAGATTCTCACATAAATGCATATGTGAAGAATATGATCTCGCGATCGAATCTTTGTAGATGTTGCAACGGAAGACATGATCGTGCAATGAAATCGAAAGGCTCCTTGTTTCAGAAAGTATGACAAAGAAGGAAAAATGTGGGCGTGCAATCCCGCGATATCGATCTCGAGGATCGCCCGTCCTCGTGAATTTTATTATTTCGGAAGGTGATATTTTTCGCGCCGACATTTCTCTCCTTTTCAAGAAATGAAGCGACCGCCAAAATTGCGTCTCAATTCTTTCCGCACAATATATTTTCCACTTCATAATTCTTCGAAATTTATCTTTTCAGAAGAAATCTAAAGGAGAAGAGGAGTCTTGAGGGCGATTCTTGCCATCCAAAGGACCCACGAAGAGGCATGGCGAGACAACAGACCGTGGATCGGAACATCCCTCATCTGCGAGATATCTTCGGCTTCGGCAGCAAATGGGATACACGTGGCCACGCCGAGGAGAAGGCACCCGGTCACGACAGCGCCGTGTCGGTTGGTTCCACGTCGGGCGAGGAGGAGAGCCCGAAGAACAGCAAGAAGAAGAAGTCGCGTCGCCGCGACAACAGCAAGACATTGACCGAAAGCGACGTTAAACACCTGGAGCGGCACCTGTCGATGAAGAAGACTATACGCAAAAAGATCATGCGTGATCTGCAGCAGGCTTTCGTCGAGGACCCGAACGAGTTTCGCGTGGACGACATACCACCGGAACAGCTCAAAGCGGAGATCAATATCCAGAGCCTGAGCTTCGGCACGCCGTCCCAGAAGCAGGGACGCACGCGTGGCAACGCCGAGAGCACGTTCCTCGACATGTTGCGCGGTGGCGGTAAGAAATTTGTCCGTTATTTGAAATTAAATGCGTCATAGACGCTTCTTATTTTTTTATCCTTATGTATTTTTAACGGCAAAATATTTAAGACTAGCAGTTTCATTAACTTTCATGTAGTTATTTCAAGATTTCCGAGATAAGTTTGCAAATAATGTAATGAAATTTATTTCCCTAAAGGAAATGTTATACAAAAAGTAAAGAGAATATTGAGAGACTTTAAATATCATTAAAAAATTCATATATTTCTTTCTTTTCCATCAAATATTTCATAAGTCTAATATTTTTTTCAAATAAAATTAATACAGAAACGTTATTTACGTTCATGAAACAAAATCTTTATTAGATTTTATGTTTTTCAAATTCTCTTTATATATTCATATAAAACTATAACGTGTTTCAGGTTTGGAAAAAAATGGAACGGACGGAGATCGGGACTCGGGACACGGGGGATCGCCGACCAGGGAGACGCCCAGTGCCCAGGACACGGACGACGAGTCCTACGCATATGAGGCGCCGGCCGCGACGCCCACGAAGAAGAGCGGCAACTTCTGGAGACGCTTTACCATGAAGAATCGCAATAAACGATAAATCTGCGGATTTATCCAAGAGCAATCGACGCAAAGAGAGAGCGTACCGATACTTTATATTCTCCGTCATCTTGATAATTTTTACCAGCGTAGTTAACGAAGCAGAGCTTGCAACTGTGATATACATAAAAACCAACTTATCTCCATCTGTCCCTCATCCCCCTGTCTCCCGAGGTGATTCTTCTCCGTCGAATTTTAAGAGGTTCCCAAAATTCGATCACACAACAAGACCGAGGACCAATCGATGCTGTACAAATTTCAAATCTAAGCGCCATACGTTTTTATACGATACATTAAAAGAGCGTGATGACACCTTTCGAACCAGCATTTTTATCATGTTCTATCATGACATATCATGAGATATAACTAATGCCGAGGTCGAAGAGAAGAAAAGCACAGGTAACTTATATCTTTTTAAAATTTTAAAATAAGTAAAAGTAATTTAAGAATTCAGAAAATGTATAAATGCAAAAAAGGAGGATGTACTTATTTTGAAAAAACAAAAATTTTTTTAGAGCCTTCGATTCCTAATTAAGTATCTTAGCGGAGGTATTAGAAGAAAAATATTCTGTGCAAATATAATTTTCTTTTAGTTGTATTCTTTTTTGCATTTAAAATAAAATTTACATATTCAAGCTTCGAAGAGAAAAAGAGAAAAAAGAAAATAAAGAGTAGAAAAAGATGCAATCTGAACGGATTTATGTAGGGATTATCCGTTGCACATATACACTCTTTCTCGAAATATATCGGGGGAACTTCTTAAAACTCTCTGATTTAAAATGTGTAATGCTCGATGTGCCCGGTATAACGTATATAACTCTCATCTTCTGACATGTACTTAAAAAAGACGTAAGAGTAGAAAACGAAGGCAGTGACACGGCCACGTGTGTAGTATTTAAGAGTTTAGCTAGTTTTATTTTTTCTTAACATAAGAACGCGGAGAAGGCAATTGTAGGTGATCGGTATTAAGCGTAAAAGAGGTACGTACGCGTGCGCGCCGATTAGATATTAGCTAGTCAACATCGTTAAGACATATACCCGAAAAACCTTGTCGATTTTCTTACTAATAAAATCAGATTTGATATCGGCTTTTTGTAACACAAAACTCGAAAGTAAGATATTTTTTATGTATTTTTTACCAGTTCGAAAATTTACAACTTTAAGATTTATTGGAGAAATATATATACACTTATACGTAAGGAACTTGTGAATTATGTCGTTTAAGTACAACGCATCATATTTTTCATTATACACTTGAGTTTTAAAGCTATATTGATGTTTATGAAACGCGCTATTGTTCCTATCGTTTTTCGAGATATCTCACTAGTATTAGAGATATTATTCGCGATAACAGTTTATACATTCTTACTTGTATCAACTGTTGTATCCCTCCCATCCTTTATTACGATAATAATAATAATTATAATAATTATTCCTTTTAATATTAACTGCAACGTTATATATTATAAGCTTTAAATGTATCATGTTCGAACTCCACATCATATAAGAACAGTAATATACTCGAATAAAAGTCTTATAGATATTACGCTTGTTCTTAACATACACACATCATTTATTTTTCTTGCGAAAAAGTTTATTGCTGACATATATATCTTCTAACAAATGTAATAGGTAATACTTTCTGTTTAATCTTTAACTGACAAACAATATAAATGTTTTAAAATTTCTTTGCGGTTAAATACCTGATCGCGCCATGTCAGTTACAAGTTAATAGAGATAGAAAGAAAATATATATTTAGTTGGGGGATCTTATATATATATATATATATATATATATATATATATATATATAAATGCGATATAAAAAATATACTTCAAAAAATATAAAAGTTTGCTTTTTATCTTGCATATCATCATTATATGGGAGGATTATTCATTCGTAAATTTCGGCGGGCGTTTCTCTAGGAAAGCTGTCATTCCTTCTTTTCTATCCGCCTGGAAAATTCACATTTTAATATGTTAATAAATTTATAAGTTTCTTTTGTATATAGATATATGTGCAAATAGCTTACCAGAGAAAAAGTACTGTTAAACAATTTCTGCTCATATTCAAGTCCTTGTTGCAAAGTCGTTTCATATGCTAAAATTAAATACAATTAGCTATACATATAATCAAAATATACATATTATAAATTTAAATTACAGAAATCGACACACGTGAATAGAGTTTCTAAGATAAATAATTTCTCAAATAATTTTAATTACCAGCATTAACAGCCTCTTTAGCTAATGAAACGACTAATTGTGAGTGAGATGCGATTTTCTCACCCAACTTTACCGCTTCTCCGACCACTTTATCAGGTGGGAAAATCTTACTGACCAAACCTAAAAAAGATAGGAAGATAGGAAAGTAGGATTTTCAAAGTCTTGAATCCATAATATACATATGTTGACGTAAAAAAATAATTATTTTAGATAAAATTATTTTTCTTAATTATTGAAATAATTTTAGAATACAATATATATGGAATATTAGTAATATTATGAAGAATTATTCATATAATTTAACATATTTATATAATTTTGTAGATTACCACAAATTTTATAAAATCATTGAATCGATCATTTTCACTGATATATATATATATATACTGCGGAAGAAGCTGAGAGAAGCGGTAAGTTTGTGTATTTTAGGATGGATCAGGTTTACTATAATAAAAAAAAATTTGAAAAAAAAAAAATATATATATAGATATATATATATATATATATATATATATATATATATATTTTTTTTTTTTTCAAATTTTTTTTTATTATAGTAAACCTGATCCATCCTAAAATACACAAACTTACCGCTTCTCTCAGCTTCTTCCGCAGTAATCATATTACCAGTAAGCACCATTTCCATAGCTTTACTTTTACCGATGAATCTGGGTAGTTTCTGAGTACCACCCGCTCCCGGAATCGTACCGATTGCAATTTCCGGTTGACCGAACTTGGCCTTGTCGCCGGCGTAAACAATGTCGCACATCATCATGAGCTCGTTTCCGCCACCCAACTGCGATCGAAAGCGAAGAATGTGTCAGCGAATTGATTTATTCATATTTATTTCCAGTAATACTTTGCGGAGAAAAGCTGCACTACTTACAGCGTAACCATTTACAGCAGCAATTAAAGGCTTTTTGCTTTTGGAAACGTCATGCCAGCTATCTATGAAGTTGCTTTTCAGATTTTCAGCGAATGATTTATCTTTCATTTCCTTGATGTCAGCACCTATAAATTAAATCATATAAATTAGATATATATAAGATTTATATTAATATTACTGAAATAATTTATTATAGTTGTGATAAGATAATTAAGAATTACTATAAAGATTTATAATAGAATAAAATTCGCGTGTGATCTTACCAGCAGCGAATGCTTTTTCACTTCCGGTAATGACAATGGCACCGATCGATGAATCTGTGTTGAAATGTTCTAAAGCGTGAATTATTTCTTTTATCAATTGATCGCATAGAGCATTTAAAGCTTTTGGTCTGTTTAAAGTGATAAGACCCACATTCTTCTTTTCACCCACAATTTCGGTCTTAATACTTTCATAGTTGCCAGTTTGACCTGTGGATCCAATTTTAAAATATTTAAAATTTATTTATTTTAAGAAATAAAAGCTACAATTCAAACACAAAAATATATATATTTTTATAACAATTTTCGCGACAAGGAATTCTATAAGAAATTATTTAGTTGTGTGTGATTATTATAATAAATTAAAAAAGATAAATATTAAATTAATATTTTATAAGCGGTACAAATCTTTTTATATTTTTATTAGGAAAACTATATCTACAGAATATATACGAAAAAATTTATTTGTATATAAGTCTTTCTTATTTTAAATTAACGTAGATATTTTGTGAGTTTTCGAAATAATATCATGGGCAGTTAATTAAATAGATAGATGAGCAAATAGATGAATTACCGCTATATAAGTAGACTTACACTGATATATAAAATTGCTAAGGAGTGCTAAGGAGCTTTCATGTTATAAATATCAATGGTATTATCACGATAGAAAATTGATTTATATTGTTTATTGCAAATTGTAGCTAAAAAGTATTGTTAAAGCGATGTTATTAAAATATTAGATTATTAATATAATATTATTACTATAACATGAAATAAACTCGTTTCATATAAAATTCACAAATAATTAGTGCGCATTTAAAAATTATTTTAATTAATTATATTTAAATAAAATATTACGGCAGAGGAATGAAAAAATGCATTCGATATATATTATTTGGAGCACGCTACAATCTGTCAATATTTGATTAGGCACTTAATAAAAAATAAATAAGCAATCATTTGCAGATAAATAAACACATTCGTCCTTAATCATTCACAATTGCATAAAAAATCGTGCGTAATTTTTCTTTTAAACATTCGTTTAAATCGAAATATTTTTCAAGCTGAAAAGTGTTAAAAGCCTTTTGCTAGCTCAAGGAAAAATAACGAAACAGTAATACATTTAATTCTAATTAACCTTGAGTGTCGGCGTTATAATATATGTACATATATATGCACATATGTACAAATATATGTATATATGTATCGTATACTTTATTAAATCATTAGGAGAGATTTTTCAAATTTCTTTTTTTAAAATACATAAATATGAATTTAAAGTAACTTTCTATTGTAATTTAAAGTCATCTGCATTTTGTGATGTAATGAGAATTAACAATTTTACACGCAAGCATATAACAGGTGATTAAATTTTCCTTTGAAAATCATGCAATACACAGCAGGAAAACAATCTGCATAAATTTAAATGCGAAATGTCATAAAAAGTCACGTAAACAGTTTGGATTAATATATGATCGATTGATACAGTGTATGTACAAAAAAAAAAAGAAAAAAAGTAATCGAAAACAAGTTGTCGACCCACTGATAATGAACGAATAGCGCAGAAGCCAGTGATTATACCGGGTGTCCGCGCAGTAACATCTCGATGTTTGACGGCTAGCGAGAGAAAGAATCTACTCTTTATTCGTACTTACAGGCATAATACCTGATGACAGGTGTAACGAGATGCTGCGGCTTTCGAGTTGCCTGCAACACGCGTGAGAAGAGAATCTGTGACACACGACTGGCAGACATGTTGATAGTTCAGGCACTTATAGATAAATGTCGACATTAAACTCGTCTCGTGAATGATAGCATAGTCATTCTTGCCAACTCTCACTACAGAAATGTTACTGATTCTCTTCCAAACGCGCGCACGAAGAAATTCAAATCCGTTATATGTTATTAAATTGTAGGCTATTATTAAATATTGATTAAGGACGAAACGCGACTTTTCAATGTGAAATTATTTGTTGATTAGCCATTTGATTAATTATTCAGTTTACTGATTAGGCAGTCATTTGACCAATCGTTGTGTATTTTTACTTTTACTGAGAATGTAAAATTGTCATTTTATTTTAATATTATTTGATTTTTCTTGTTAATATTTTGCCCTTTTATTTATTCAATTGTTTGCTTCCCTGTAATATTTTATCTCTAATATCTTTATAATTTTTTTATTTTTAATAATTTATTTATATCATGCGGCACATAAACAAATACGAAATTAATGCAAAAGTTTTAATTTCTATAACATTAAAACTAAAGTTTTCCAATTTTAGGTCACAAATAACATTTTTGATAATTAAAAGATTAATAGAATTTATCTCACAATATATCAAAAAATTTCATACTGCGCTTTATCAGGGAAATATAAATTTTATTTATTTTGCTTTATATGATGAGAGAAATTACTTTATATGATAAAAGATTGTATATTTAATCTTTTTCAAAAGAGGAATTTTTATAAATTAAAATAATTTTATAATCATAAAATAAATTTATAATCATGTGTATGTGTGTGTGTGTGTGTGTGTATTGCATATTTAAGTGCGCGTAACAATTGTTGTAAAGCATATCCAATAATAGATAATTCTTCTAGAGTTCTTTTTTTTAAAGGCAAAAAAAGAGCAGAGTTTATCTTCTCGCAAACTGATTTAATCAAATTGATTGCACGAATTTACAAGAAACGGCGCGAAAAACTGCAGTTCCGGATCAACGATCCGCAACCGTGATCGATGATGCGTACGATGACTATGACTGAAACGTAAAGAGAAAAGAAAAAAAAGTGAGAATGGACGCTTTTCTGTCACGCGTTTAAGCGGTGAAAGTATTTGATTCGGAAGGGGGAGTTCATCTGCGGACAGGTAATAAAACGGCAGACGGCACCTCGACATTGAACGAACTTGAATTTACCGTCAGTTCACGGTCGTTCGTTCGCGCTTACCGTTTCTATCGGCATCATGCGTGCAATTCTTCTGCTCGCCGTCTTGACAAACGTCAAACTTAAAGGATACGCAGGTGAAAAAACCTATTTATTTGAAAATGATATTTTATATAAAAAAGATACATAATATATTATATATAGAAGATATTTTGTATAAAAGTTACATTGAAAATTATTTTGATCACATCAGTTTGTTCACTAAAATCGCTTTTTAATTGTAACATTTTATTTTAAAAATAATCTTTATACTATTTTGACATTTTTATTTAAATAATAAATGTTACTATTAAAATAGTATAATGTTGATTGTATATTTTTGAAGAGTTCTTTTAATCATTCTGAGTATATGATTGTAGAGGAAATTTGGCAGCAGGACCTGTCTAAAGATATGCAGATAGGTGCATCCACCGAAGGCTACGATCGCGTAGGGTTGCGGTGCGGCGCCGAAAAGATGACCGTGGAGCTCAGGACAACGGAGGATTTTTCAGGAGTGATCTACACTCAGGGTAATTTTTATTCCAGAGAACCGTCCTGCTTCCTCGATCCAGTTCGCGGTAGAAGTTTCACTATGAGTATCCCTTTGAACAAATGCGACACCGAAAGGGTAAGTAAACGTGCATTAAATATGCCATCATTTAAATATATCATTCATTTAAATATATCTTATTAACAAAAAAATTTTCTTTTAAAATTTACGATAAAGAATTTTTCAAAATAATGATGTTTATTTTTTTTAGAATAGAATTAATTTCATTTCACAGTTTTTTTAACAGCTGACATTCTCTCACTTATCTATCTATTTTTATATTGATATATAAAATATAATATTTTATATTATAATATAATATAAAATATAATGTATAGTTTAAAATACAATTCAATAAACAATAATAAAGAATCAGTGAAAATAAGTACAATGATAATAATTCGTACATACATCATTTTTTAACATATATTATTTTTTAATTAATTTCTTAGATTTCTCTCTCATTTTTATTCATGACTTTAATAAATAATGGAACTGAAAAATATCCGCACATAACATTTTCTAAAACTATCGCAGTTTTAAAATAAATCGAAAATATTTTTAATTATACATTTGCTACATTCAATAAAATATCAGCCCTTTCTCTCTCTTTCTCTCTCTTTAATTCTTAATAATTTCTCGCCTTGACTTATTCATTAATAAATAATTTACATAATATTTTAGAATAAATAAATATTTAGTGGATATTTATCTGATATCTTTTTCGTCTTTTTTTAAATTTTGGTATCAGAATGGAGAAAAATACAGCAATGTTGTGGTCATTCAGCACGATGATGAGTTATTGACACCGGGTGATGCTGCTTTTACGTTAGAATGCGACTTCTCAAAGCCGCGTGATCTCACGGTAACGGCGAATTTAAATGGAAGCAAGAGAAGGTATAATTGCAGGCTATCTTGTCATTAATTCACTTTCGATATGAGAGTGTTGTGCTATTATCGCGTGTTTTCAATTATTCATAAGCTTAATAGAGATATAACTGATTTTCTCTGCAGTACATGAAGTGAATTATGTAAAGAATATCACCAATTATCATCCTAATTTATGAAAAATTTCTATTAAATATTCTAATAAAAGTTTATATGATGCTTTATATATGGATTGTCTTAAATACGGTATTGTTTCTTTTATAATTTTATATATAGAGCGTGTAAAAATTAAATTAAACGAAGAAATATCCTAAGTCATTAGGGTACTGTAATTTTGTTGGAGTTTCTTTTTAATTTATTTTACAATTTTAACATGAAATATCTCAATATATATATTGAGATATTTCATGTTAAAATTGTAAAATATATATATATATAATATAAAATTCTAATTATTAATATAAATTAATAATATATTGAACTAGACTTATATTAGAAACTTATATAAGAGATAATACTTTGATAATTCTATTTGTTTCTCAAGATTATTTTGCTATGATTATTAATATTCAGTTTCTAATAACTTTATAATTAAATTAAATTATTATTATATAAAGAAAAATTAATTTCTAGTTTGTGAAAGAATTTCTCGAGATGATAATTTTTAAATTATATTTTATCTATAATAATAATAATAATAATAATAATATATTTTTATTTTTCTAGGACCACTAGATCGAGTATAGCTCTCGTTGACGCCGATCCAGGAAGGGACAGGAGGAAAAGGGCGGCATATGTGGAAAGCTATGACGACAAAGTTGTTTTCATCCCGCAGAAAGCATATCGTAAGACAAACGACGAATTGTGAGATACCAGTATGTGCTAGCTATAATAAAGGATTAAAAATATACATTTTGCCCTTTTCTTTCTGTCAAACTTCCGGTATAATTACCATTCACAAATTTTCTGATAATTTCGTCGTTCATAAGTTTGGCACAATCTGGTGGTCTCTTCGCAAATTCTATAGTTTCTCTGGCACTGAGCACGTTCAACAAACGCAACTATTGATGATAACAACAATTACCTTTGTCATATTTTGAGATTCATTAAATTAAGTTCTTTTTTTCTAAAAAAAATTGATTTAATTTGCGCTTGCTGAATGTGATCATTGTCGCACAATAAAAACACGTGTTCGAATTGATTTCAGGATAAAAACAATCATTGGATTTTGTTTTGCTAAATCTTGCCAGTGAACATCATCGATTCAATGAAATGATTTAGCATTTTGTGCTATCGTTGCCGTTGTTTGTTACACTGTTTGTTTGAATAAATTATTTAACCGTTCGAATGTGGATGTATCATTTCATAATCGTAATGCAATCGTGCATTAATTCTTAATTTGTATGCAATGCAGGAATGGTATGCGTGTATATACATAAGGATGGCTTTATTTCTACTCCAAAAATACGATATGTAACATGCGATAATTCAATGATAATCTCTAGCCTTTGCAGATAACAATACATGTGGAAATTTACATCAAGTCTCATTTATGTAATTGACATCTATTAATCAATATATAATTAATTTAGCAACTGTTGCAAGATATTAATATGAGATTTAGAAACCGTTAAATTTCAATTTTCGATTTTTAAAAATTTTTGAAACTTTAAAATGACTATTGTCAGTGAAATCGTAACAATACGGCTATATTTCTGTGTGATACAATCGTTACAATCGTACAAGGTCACGATGATAATTATGCAGGAAATGAAGCGGTATCGGTGATTGTGCATAGAAACGTGAAACCGCAAATCCCATTTCATAATAATACGTCATAAATATAAATATAAAACCGCATTATAGTCGAGAGACTGCAATGGTCGAATCTAGGCGGATATGCTCGGGATAATTTAAAGTCTTCTTTGTGGAACGAATCCCTCGTTTCGTCTCCGTCTCGTCGCTTTTCGCGTCTTTGTCTCTCTTTCTAGTCGAATGCTTCTCTCGGGCGATTGTACCTCGCGAATGAACTTAATAAATGAATAGAACCGTCTGGAAACATTACTTGTAATCGAGAATAGTTCACTATATGTTGTTCTTCTCTAATAACAACATGCTAGAATATTAATGATTTGTAAAAAAAATCTGAGGGAAAAAAACATTTTAGAAAATATTAATTTAACCAGCTGATTTTTTTCTGTCGCGCTAGCTTTAATAAAATTTCAATATATATATTTATATTTTAATTTTATTGTGTGTAGCTGAATAAAGTTTTTCTTTAAGTTTGTCTTTAAGGAGCATATCAGTTCTTTAAAAAAATTAAATGAAATATGCTTTAAGAATAAGAGAGATTGAAATTTATTTTATAAAAAATATTTTAAACAATTAAATATTTTAAACAATTAAATTCTTTTTTTGAGGAAGAAATTAATAAAATAGTTCTCTAGAAATTTGTCAAATTAAAAAAAAAAGTTGAGTAGAAATGTGAAACATATTTAGAAATATAATGATTGATATTGAACTTATGTAATTATTATTTGATAATTTATATTGCAAAAAATAGTATTAATCATCTTCCTGCATTTGTTGAATAAATCGTTCAAACACCTGTATTAAAAACATCGATCAATAAAAATGAAAAACAATTCGGAATAATTTAGTCTAACAGAGGGATCTATCTAATTTTTTCATTATATATTATTTGTTGAGATACCGTGATGTTTAGCTCAAATGATTAAAAAGTATATGTTTATTATAAAATGGATGACAGTGAAAACGATAAAACTGGGACTGTGAGAACGATAAAACTGGGAACTTCTGGAACGATAAAAGTCACATTAGCCCCCACTTCTATTATATCTCTTCATATATAAGGAGCTAGTCAGACATCGTCGGTCTCTCAATTGCGAAAGATTTTAGGAGTAATTTTATTTGACAGATAAAGTATATCGTGGCAGAAATGGCAACAGCAAAATTCAAGGAAACATCCCCCTATGTTAAGTCTAAACCTTTACCGCCTGAAGAAGATTTTCTCTATAACCAGTAAGTAATCAATTTGATTTTACACATCTCATCGAGTATCTCGATCAAGTATTCAACTAAAGATCCTTTCAGCGAGAAAAATTGTTCTTGTCTACTTTTAATAACACAATAAAAATATCTTTTCAGATACTTGGAAGACATCGCGCTGAAAACTGATAACCGAAAAGACCCAATACTTAAGCTGGCCTTATTTGGTGTGGGTCGTGCCGGTACAATACATTTAAGGTCTACAATTTCTAGTCCACGCGCCAAACTCGTATATATTGTTGACGATATTGAAAGCAACTGGCAAAATATGCGCAAATATTGGCATTTAGAAGACGTTGTCTTCTTAACAAGCGCACAATCTGATAATGTATTCAAGGATCCTAAGTGAGTAATTGCATTAAATAAGAAAAAGTACTATCGATAAAAATTATATATAAGATTATATATTAATAAAAAATTAAATTTATTATATATATAATGTATGTGTATGTATTATATACACTGAAAAAAAACTTGGTTGAAAAAGGCAAAATTTGTGCTCAACTAAATATATTGTTCGATACGTTCAAATAAATATAACTAAAATATTCCGAAATAATCTGTTGATATAAACAAATTCAAACAAATTTATTCTTATTCAAATCATCTTATTCAAAACAGAGAGTTCAATACAACGATGTACAGTTACTACAACAGAATATTTTTTTGGTAAATTTTCAACCAAATTTTTTTTTCAGTGTATAATATATTAAAAAGTATTACAAATATAACAATAAAGTAATTAGATTTATCATATAATTCTCTACGATTCGTACAGTGTCGACGCGGTTATCGTTGCATCGCCGACTGTTACGCATGAGGATATCGTTATCAAGGCTTTGAAGGCGAAAAAGGCGGTTTTCTGCGAGAAGCCTGTAGCGGAAAATAAATTAGACACTGCCAAATGTTACGAGATGGCTGAGAAAATCGGCACACCGTTGTTTTGCGCGTTCAATCGGCGATTCGATCCGAGCTACTCGGAAGTGCGAGACCGAGTTCAAAAAGGTGAAGTCGGACATGTTCACATGATCAAAACCGTCTCACGCGACTCTCCTCTACCTACTATAGAGTATCTGAAAATATCCGGAGGTATCTTCCACGATTGTTTGGTTCACGATATCGACATTATAACTTGGGTTCTCGGAGAGTATCCAGACAAGGTGTGAGACTTTTTCATACATGTTATAACTCATTCTAATATATTGAAAAAAGTGTATCTTCAATTTTAAAAGTTTTTTTTGTACTTTTGAGGTACTTTTATTGTTCTTAATTTATTTTAAAAGAGATCAAATTCTTCGCTAATTGTAAGTCGAGCCATTGATTGGAAAAAATTATATTTGTAAATTTTGTAATATCATTGATAAGACTGATAATGTGCAATTACAGATTTCGGTCATAGCTGATGCGAACATCCCGGAGATCAAGGCGATCGGAGATTTTGACACGGTCGCCGTGACCATGCATTTTCCGTCAGGCACTGTCGGCATGATCGATCTGTCGCGTAACAGCAACTACGGATACGATCAACGACTGGAGGCGTTTGGTCCGAGGGGAGTCGTACAAGCTGACAACGAGCAACCGAACGCCATTCGTCGACAATATGGTCGACGACAGGGTATACAGGGATCGAATACTGCTCCGATCTGGTACTCGTTCGCCAGCCGTTTCATGAACGGCTATCGAAGGGAGTTCGATCACTTTATCGATATAGTACTTGGCAAAGCTAAGTCGCTGGTCAAGTCGAAAGAAATTTTGGCAGTGAGTAAGATCGCTACTGCATGCGAAGAATCCGCTCGCACGGGAAAGATCGTGAGTCTGGACTGGACGAAAAGCGAATTGCCCGATGATCAATAAGATCTCAACACGAGAGACTAATTAAATATATATTTTGTGTCAAATATAAAATTAAACAAAATTAAATAAGAGACGTCGATAAAAAGTTTGATAAATATTTTATTAATAAATTGAGCAAAACTGGCATTATTTAATTTTCATATTTAATAGCAGTCATTACATATTAATCTTATATGGAGGAATCATTTTCGAATCTCTCCATTTATATTTCTTTACTTCACACGGAAAATCTATATAAAAATATATATATCGTAATATCTTTTGTAATGAATGCAATGAAATGTGAATGATTTAAAAATTATAAATGAAATGTTTTGTGTATGCGTAACCAATTTCCATTATTATTAAGAGGATATTAAAATTTCCTTCGATGTTTCATATTTAATTAATTTTACTTTTATATAGAATTAAATTTATATAAAATAATGTGAATATGTAATGAATATGATATGTAATAAATGCGATTTTATTACAGACAGAAAAAAAGATTTATTTCCGTTGAAAAGTTTGTTATTAAAAATTATAATATATCATAGTAACAAATTTATCCTTTGGTTTTACTAGGATAATAGAGAAAAAAGTGGCGTGTCTTTCAAAATATATCTCACAAGTTTATATAATATTGATTACAATTTAATGAGAGCTTATGCGCTAAATTAGCGAATTTTTAGTTTAGCCGATAGCAAACAAATAAATCAAGCCATATAATTTGTCACATTTTTATATATAAGTGACAAAGAAATTACACAATAATGTACCAAATATCATGTCGAAAAAAATAACAATATAAAATCGATATTGTCCGTAAGATTGATGCGCACGTCTCTGCGTAGACTTTTCACTTTTAACTTCTATTGTAACAATATTTTGTAAAAAAATGGAAAACTTTCCTATTCGCCTGTCATTATCGTTTTATGTATGTACAGCCGGCGTTTTTTCAGTAAATAATGAGGAACTGAGTTTGAGCCGCATTCAACGTCGAGTCTTTTAAACGTTACCAAATAGCATAAAATTCTCATGCGAGAATCTGTCTATCCCATATTTCATGCTCGATTTATCTAGAGTCTAATACTAGATATATACATTTTGTCCATATTTACCATTTAAACGCAACATTATAAAGTGTATCGCGAAATATACATAAATATGTGTATATTTATATATTGCGATGTGTAGAAAAATCTTATTCATTATATTTATCCAAAAGCTGATATACATATGTCGCAATTATAAGATTATAACATCCAAACTAAATCTTAACATTCAACCATGTATCGCAAATCTACATATGTTCCAATTAATTATATTAAATATTAGGTCATAACAATCTGATATCTCTTTTATATTTATATATATGTATATATACTCAATTTCACTATATTAATTGGAAATAATGCGCAATTCACTTAGGCGCTACATGCATGTATAAGAAACTGTGCAAAATTGTATGTTTGGAATATATATATTTAATATATATATATATACATATATATAACTCCTTTTAGCTCTAACGATTGTGAATCATTTATATAAGTTTAATTTATGTAGTTTCACATGATTTTAAATTCAAGGCGCATATTTTCGCTTACAATGTTCCTCAACTCGTTCTCAATCTATAAAAATTTTTCAGTACTATTATCAGCTGTATATTCAATGGTACTTTTTGTCGATTTTAGATGATATTTAAAAATTGCTTTGAACATTGTAGGTCCCCTTCATTTTTATTGCGTGTAATATATTCACAATTTTGCTATACCTGTCTTTAACTAAAAATTTGTGTATTCGAATTGCGTGCGACAATTTTCGATTTCAGAATTTCAAAGATTTCGCAAACAATGCAGCTGTAGCTTGCGTTTTGTCACCGTTAAATCTACGCAGTTCTGCAATAACTTGCGCCCTGGTAAAACCCAAAGCCTCTAGTTCCTTTACAGTGGCTTCCGTAAAGGGATCATGTGGATAGACTGTTGTTTCTAAGGCGGCTGGTCTATTTAACAAGCCTTGATTACTACTACCTTGCCCGTCTGAAGCATTTCAACAACAATATTTATCAATGATAAATTGCAAAAGAAAAATAGATTCTTCGTTAAAGAAAAAAGTACATAAAATTTTGTATGCTTCCAAGAAACAACTTTTCATATATGTTACTTTCTTTTTTATATAATTATAAATTGCAAAAAAAAGATTTTCTTTTAAATAACAAAAAGAAGGAATAAAAAAATAAAAAAAGGATAGCTTGATCTGATTCTTACCATGCTGTTGCCTCTGTTTCTTCGCGTCTCTTGAACTATCTTCAAGAGCTCGTTGGAGATCCCTGTCATCTAACGATTCATCACTATTCCCACTTAATCTTGCACATTCAGGTAAATCACCTATGAAATAATAAATAAAATAATATTAATATTTTTCAATTCAACATTAGAATTTTAATATTAACATTAATATTAATATTAAAAATAAATTTTATTAATTATAGAAGACAAGAAGAAATAAACCTTCTGCTAAAAATGAAGTTTCTGTGCCCGTAGTACCAATCTTCAAAACATTTTTCTTCAAGTCTATGCAACATTGATGTCTCTTGAGCATGTCTAAGCCCAACAACATGTCCATAGGTTGTTCCTCAAGGACACTGAACGATGTTGTAAGATGATCGTTGCCAATTTGTATTTGCACCATGTGTATACGACCGATTATGCGTTGAACTCCGACGCCCTTGGCGACCCCAGCCCACCTTGTGTCCACCAGACGCATAATATGACATCTCTCGGCACAAGCGGCAGACATAATAGTTGTTTGAGCACCTTGTGTCATAAAAATATTTTCAATATTATAATAAGCAGGATCGATTTAGCTTCTTTCACAATGCATCGTAAAAATATTTTAAAAACTATTGGATTATATTGAATTGAAAACAAAGAATCTCTTCTCTTTCTTTTTTCTTGTATTGTTTTCGCAGATGAAGATCACATGAGTTGTCAGATCTAAAATTAAACTGTTTTTCTGCACGTCATGCAGAATACTTTTCCGAGAAACGTGTGTACTTAAAAATAAATACACTACTCATACAGACACCGAGATGCAACAAAACAACGATATTCAAAAATAATCTCAACATTTTTCACGCGCGTCTTGAAATACACGCGAAGCATTGATGCATTTCTATACTTGTTACTGTAAACAGAATAGCCAATGATTTACCTGAATCAATAAATGCTTTAACTGGAAATCCATTGACTTTACAATTGATGTACAACATCACAACAGTGCCGAAAGTTTCTGGATTGTATTCCATTGCTGCTTCCATATTCGCCTCGATATTTTTTTGTCTAATCTCTTCGGCGATCAATCGTTGCGCTTCTGTGTCAAACGGATCTGCATTCATCATTCTTAATCGTTGTGCTTGCCGTTCTTCGCGAGCGGCTATCTGCTCTCTGAGTACAGTCGAAAATCTATCTATAATATATGAATATTTTTAGATCATAAATGCAAGATACAATTACGCTGTCGTAACTAAATGTGCTGCTTACCAAGATTTCCCGACAGCAAAGCATCGGCCAATCTGGGATTATTCTGCTTCAACAATGCCAACTGATCTGGATTAGCCAGGAACATATTTCTTATCAATGCTGGATCATCCTCGCTGCGGGGATTTTGTACTCTGTTATTCGCAATTGGCTGCTGACGCTGTACGTTGCTGATGTCGGGAATTCTGATGGAACTGAAGTCCAGTAATGGAATGGCTAGAGCGATGTTTCTTCGAATTTAGTACGTTCATTTTTGCAAGGCATTATATGCGCTACGTAAAGTAGCATTATAAGGAAGGACAAGACATCATGAATAGAAAAAGACGCTGAAACAAGCTTCATGGTGACATTCAGAGAGAGATAGAGGAAGAGAGAGCTAAGAATGATAAATGTATGCATAATTAAGCTAGAGTTAAAAGTCAAGATTTCAACATCAGAAACCACAGGTTTGCAGTTTCTATGTCGATGAAAACAAGGTAAACGATGAGGAAACTAAAATTAAATACGAATTATTATTGCAATGAAAATAAATACAAGAGTAACGGGACTGCTCCAGATCGCTATCTAAAAAAACATTGCCTACCTCTGTTGAAGGGCTGCAGGTTCAAATCGCTACCGCTCTGGTGCATATGCTGCAGGATAACGGCGTCGCCGTCGCGGATGCCGTGATCGCGCAGGGACTTCTTGTCGTCCATGAGCGGCAGGCCGTTGAACGCGATGACGATTTCGTGGGCCGGCACTCCGCTCTCGATCTCGCAGAACGCCTTGAAATTCTCCAATTCCAGCTCCTCGCTCACGTCCAGGACGAAAACGCTGTCGTCGCTGAGAGTCGTTACTGTCACCTTCATACTTGCCTCGTGCGATCGCGACGAATCCTGGGAACGAATGAACGTGACAAGCGTCCGCCTCGTGGTCAACGAGTGAGATTTTCTCGGGGGGAAAATATGCGCGACACTCGATTAGGAATGGGAGAGTCGTGACGAACGCGGGAGAGGCATCAAGGGAGGACAAGCGGGACGGGCGGCACGCGATTCGCGACTCCTCCGGATGTAAACAAGGGGGGCCCAACTCAGCAAAAATACTCCCCCGATGACGGCGAGACTCGCGTGTCACTCGAAACTCGAAACTTTCGAGACTCGAGACGAATGCTCGCGAATGGGCGCGCATGCGTGGCCTCACTGAGGTATTATACGAAATAAAAAGAGGGTATATGACTCCCTCCAAAAGCTGCTTTTAAAAATATGTATAAAAATTTAAAAAAATTATTAAGTGCTTTTTATTTAAATGACAAACATATAGATACACACTAAAAATAGTTACATAGTTATTTTTAGAATAAGATATATATTATGTAAAATAAAAATATCTCCATAGACGGAAGAATAAAAGGTGTTATAGCCCGCTTTTAGGTGATCCCTGAAAGCGATTTGTTCTCTGTGGACATTAAAAACGTGGACATGAATTACGAAGTCAAAGTCCACGAATGTTCTCAGAGGATAACGTATAAAATACAATTTCTGTTTCTATTCCGTGCTATATGCACAAAATGCTGGTAGCACATGTATATAAATGTAAATAAATTTTTAATATAAATGAGTTTTGTAGTCCTCTCTCTCACTTTAATAAAATAAATGTAATAAATATTAAATTTAAAAAGTTTTACTGATTATTATATCGTTTAATAATAAAATAAATTTAATAAATATTAAATTTAAAAAGTATTAGTGATTATTATATCGTTTAACAATATATTTCAGAATTTAAATATTTGTAGTTCATTAATAGTGGACATTGAAGTCGAGTTCTCCACTGGAAACGTATTCTGAAATTATTAGGAAATTATTAGGAGAATATAATCAAGTTAGAGGTAGCACAAAATTACCTAGCTACATTATCGACATTAAAAATATACCTTTAGTAGGTGTTTGCTGTGTCGGTAACTTTCTGTTAGTCGGTAACTTTGTGTTACTTCCTATCCGATCATATTCGCCTAATACTTTCCTAAGTTTCCAACGGAGAACTCGACTTCAATGTCGGCAATTAATAAACTACAAATATTTAAATTCTGAAATATATTGTTAAACGATATAATAATCAGTAATACTTTTTAAATTTAATATTTATTAATTTATTTCATTTGAGTCATTTACATATAATTAATTAATATAATATAATGATCGACATTAAAGTCAAGTTCTCCACTGGAAACGTATTCTGAAATTATTAGGAAATTATTAGGAGAATATAATCAAGTTGGAGGTAGCACAAAATTACCTAGCTACATTATCGACATTAAAAATATATCTCTAGTAGGTATTTGCTGTGTCGGTAACTTTCTGTTAGTGTTACTTCCTATCAGATCATATTCGCCTAATACTTTCCTAAGTTTCCAGCGGAGAACTCGACTTCAATATCGGCAATTAATGAACTACAAATATTTAAATTCTGAAATATATTGTTAAACGATATAATAATCAGTAATACTTTTTAAATTTAATATTTATTAATTTATTTTATTTGAGTCACTTACATATAATTAATTAATATAATATAATGATATAATAAATTATAGACGAATGTATTAATTCAATTTTGTTTTCTCACAAAGGGAAAAAATACACGTTATGCAAATATCCGATCTCTGGAAACTTTGCACGATCATCTAGGACCCGGATTTATTTAATTAATATGTGTATATATATGTAATTAAAGAAATTTATTAAATACTTTGAGATAAAATAAAAATATATTGTCACTAAAAAATTAAAGTTATGTCAAGATTAAAATTGAAATTAATTTCAGATGGATTGACATTGAAAAAACAAGTTAAAATCAATTAAAATTGAAACTAAATCGTGCAAAAAATCGAGATTGACTTAACATTAAATCTAACAAAGAGAGTACGACATCCGGGTTCGATTTTAAAGAAACTTTGTGTGAGTGTGTAGTACTTAATACATAACTAATTTAAAGTAGTAAGACGCACTACTCAATCGTTTTCAAGAAAAAAGTATTTAAAGTTTCGCGAGTACCTTATAAGGCCATGGAATAACACAGAGATATAAAGTTAAGCGTTAACTAGGCGAGTAAAATGGTAGCGGTCGAAACGCAGGAACCATGGTTCGATTCATGTTACGTCCACGATTCTTTTCTTTCTTCGAAACGTTATCGTGGAAGAAAAATTAAGAATCGGCTTGGATTTAAAATACAAAGCGATCCTTTTTTAGAATATTGATAGCGCCTAGAAAAACGCAACCTAACCCGCATATAACCACTTAAACCTAACAAATCTAATATTGAGAATGGCCAGTCGAGATAGCGAAACTTTAAATAAATTTTTGAATTATGAAACTTGAAATTATTATAAGAAATTCCAACAGCCCCGTATTTATTGATATAGCTTACTCTCGAAACCGCTCTATCTCAGGTATTTTTAAAACAAAAATCCTTGGAAAATTGACAAAAAATAAACATAAAACCTTAGACAGCAGACTTTTCAATAATATATTCATAAAGAACTTATATTTTTGACCTCTTTATAATTTGCATTAAATGAATTCAAGATGTGATCTAAAAATATTACTTTTTGAAACTCTTGAACACTAAATCATAAGCAGCTGATTATGAGTTCCCATAAACCTGTTATAACATTCATACAGTGATCATTCAGAAAAATATCATTTTGATATCAGAAATGTGACACGTGTTTTTTTACTTGCCGCTATTAGGCGGCGAGCCACTCTTAACTTAACTCGTATTCAAGATTTATCATGAAATGTAAATAAAGAACTAGTAATTAACACATAAGATTTAAAGTATATTTTTTTCCTTTTATGAGCAGTAGTGCCAGAAAGAGGACACACTGCTCATACATATACAAACAGGGAGAGCCACATGTGCTACGCAACATAATTGTGTGTGAATCGCATCTCTTGCTGATATAACTATTTATAACTATTTATCAGTTTAATTTCTGACAAACTGAATTTAAAATAATTATGGAATATTTAGAAAATCATTAAAAACCTATTATATAATCATTAAAAACCTATTATAAATTGCACAAATTTTCTTAATTACCGAAATTTTTACAATTTGCAATAATGCACAATTAACGTTTCTCATCCTCAGAATAAGTTCATAATACTATTCTTAAAGAACTCATTATGATTAGCTCACAAAGTGTCTATTTAGGTGGCGAATAAGATCACAATAGCACCTAGCATTATCATCTTTTTCTGTATTCTTCTCTTCGTCACTTATTTCTTCAATAAGATCTTCATTTACAATACTTGATTTTTTAAAAAACTCAAATGTTTTATATGTGTCATTTTTTTAGATAGTGCACAGTTGATGCTGTTAACTCAAAAAATGAAAGATAAAATTCGCTGTATAGTAGAAGATGTACAGCGAAGAGTCTCTAAAGCTTTAAGTGAAGAAATACGACGATTAGCCGTTTTAGTAGATGAATTTAGTGTTCCATTTCACCCCGAACCATTTGTTTTGAATCTATTTAAAAGAGAACTTTCTGATTGAATGAAATTAATTATGCATTTTTCGTGGAAAAAGTGTATTAATTTCAAATATTTTTGAAACTATTTTAGATAATTATTTTAGATAACATTAAACAAAATTAAATGAAAAAATTTTAAAGCTTATTTTAAATGTTTATGTAGATTTATTATGCAGTTTATGTAATTTAAGTTTATTTTAAATGTTTATGTAGATTTATTATGCAGTTTATGTAAATCTATACGCAATTTTTTGATATCTTTTTCTTTAGTTATCGCTACAGTTGAACGTGATCTTGACGAGGATTAAATGCGACTTGTTATTATAAGCATAATGGATCCACAATTAACACATCATACATGTGCACGGTGCATCTGTCGATTGAAGATATCACGATGCTAACAATGCGCGTTAGAATTTCATGGAAAAACACAAAAACGTGAAATCAAATTAGCTAGGCGTGAAACGTTGTCGCAAAAATTATTGGCAAGCGAATTAATGCGTTGATTATCTCGATCATCTTATATGCGTATAAGCTTTGAATAGCATTTAATGAGATGCTCTATTGACAAACGACGATAAAGTTATCCTGACAATAATCTCAAATATATGAATGGGACATTCGATTGTCGTATGCACATCTGCATGAGATATTCGTTGCCGAATAAATGTTTTAATTTCCATGTAATATTCATAAATTTCCCATTTCAACGATAAACATCGAGATAAAATAACAATCAGACAATAATCGAAAGTGAATATTAAATTGTTTTTCACTGAGAGATGCATTATTCTAATTATTAAAATTTAAAATATTATACAATTTTATATACATTATATTTATATATATTCTCTATTATTTTTTTTGTATTCTATTTTTATGCATTCTATTTTTACACCTCATTGACAAGGCCAAACCTTATCCTAGTCATCGAGCTTTCGTGTTCGCGTACAGAGTCCCACAGCCACCTGTCTAATAATGCGCCTCCCGTATCCGGTGCCGTCTAACCGTTTCCGGTATCTGGGGCTGGATGTTACCCCCTGTGATGTCCTCATACGCGACCCCCGCGCAAAAGGGGCACGAGACCCCAAACATTCCACGCTCCAATGCACCGTCTTTCCCAGTTTTTCTGGGGAACAAGCTTCCCTCTGTAATATGTGTATGTATGCGTATGTGTCTTCGGCTTCCGCACAATCGATTTGTTATTGCGGCTCCTCACTATGCTAGCGAGAGGAAGCAGCGAAAACTCTGATAGTTTTAATCGTCGCTTTTTTCCTATTTTAGAACTTATGCATTTGCTACATGTTTTTCTATATTAGAAACTACGCATTCGTTCCTTTTTCGATAGTGATAATGATAAAACTTTCTTTTATTTATTTAAGTTATTTATACTTTTATTTTATAATTTTTAGATCTTAACCAACCCAATAAAATATTTATTAATATATGACTGTATCAATATACCTCCAGTTTTCATAAAAAGTTTTATCAATTTCATATATCTTAATGTTGTAAAACTTATTTTTAGATATTTAAAATTTGTTTGTTAAATTAATTCTCAATGAAATAATTTATCATTATTTTGACATAATATAATTCGGTAAGACTGTAGTTCAATAAGATTGATATTCTCACGGAAAATTATCGTTCAAAGTGGATGTCTTACCCTAATTCATAACGTAAATCGATTTCACACTCCCGCTGAGTATAAATTAATAGACACTTACGATTGCGTTTCGATAGACATAGCGGGATATTCCGGCGCGTTCCATGTACCAGGTGTTAGCCATGGTTTTCGCCTGTCAGGACGTACCGTGAAAAATCGCTTTATCCATGGAGTGGAGTTTTTCATGATTGTTTCCTTAAAAAAAAAGAGAGAGAGAAAAAGAAAAAAAAAGGAAACGATGCAATTTTTAATTGTGCAATTTTTTCCAATGCCCCGAATCAAAGATGATGCTCTCCATATTTAAGACGCTTTATCATACCTTTTTATTCTACGATCGACGATGGCAAATTTTTTCGAGGCAGAGCAGAGATAATATTTATCCGATTGTGCGAAGCGAGACCGAACGAATCCGGCCCGTCGTCGCCGGAATCGCATTTAAGCGCGTACACGTGGCCATAGGCTTTACCGATTTAAATCCCAGATCCCCTTTAGTTATCTCTCGATCTCGAGGATCAAAAATACTGCGGCACAATAGTCTGTGCCGACGCAGTATTTTCATTTCGGATTATACCGAAACAAGCTGCGGCGTGGTGAAAATGCGATTGAAAGATACATGCATAGAACAATAAAAAAATTTGCTTTTTGTTTTATTTATTCAAAAATAACACGAATTCAGTATCACTGAATTTTTAAATTATCAATCTGATTGCAAAGTATATAAATATTTTGATTATTTTAATATAAAATGTAGTAAAAACAAAACGCTAATAAATGTAGTAAATGCGAAAAACGCTAATTGTTCGATGCATTTGATTGGATAGGGGTTTTAATTACAACCGTGGGAAATAGTGATGCCGTTTTTCCTGATTCTTTCCGGAGCATCACAGATGGAACTATAATTCATCCGGCATCGACCCTCGTCTCATAATTTTGGGCTGCTAATTATCGAAACGTAATGTTCGAGATCCGGAAACGAATGTTTGTAACAGGGTTTAGTTTATTAGTTTGTCGGCCTTATCAAAGAAAGCGCCTCTCGTAAATTTATTTAGATCGAATATTATAACACACTATTTGCCATAAATATCGTGTAATAAAATTTTAAAAAAGAATATTATTATAATCATTAAATATATTATTATATTGTTGCTGTTGCAGAAAAAACATTTTTAATATTTTTACAAATATATGACAGAATCCATTATATTTTTTCTTTTTTTCTAAAAAAGTTATGTAATTTTGCATCGATTATTGCTGTAAAAAGAACTATAAAAGAGATCAATTCTAGGAAAAAGCTCTGGCACAGTTATTTATTATAAAATTTTGCGCTTTATGAAAATAATATTACAATTAAAACAATAAAAATTTTGAATCAACTAAATTTTTTATTTACTCTTTATGGCAATATTCGATGCAAATCGAATACAAAGCAGATGATATTCTCTCCGTGTATGCGACACGCGGTTTTTTTATATAATTAAAGTATTATCCGGTTTAGATGCGTGCATCCGGCAACATATTGCTGGCGTAATTATATATCGCAGGGCGTTATTAAGTATTATTATCTTGCGTTTAATAATGCGATGGAAAAATCAGATCGGTACCTGTTACGGCTCGTATAATTATAGGCTTGCCCGAGAGGGCCAAATGTCGCCGAAGCGGTTAACCCCAGGACGCAACCCTTTGCGCGATGTAGCGACTGCACGTGCGAGTCACGTGCGACCAATTTCTTTTTTACTACGACTTATCCGTGATTCCTGACGATGTGCTCTTCGCTGTTTGCAAGCATAATTCAAGTGACAAGAAAAGGATGAAGCATCGATTAAGCGTTCCAAGAGCAATATATAGAAATATTTCACATATGATTACAATAAATCTATTCATATATATATAATATATATATATATATATCATATACATATACATTAATTATTAATAATGTATTCATATATATTAATTATTAATTAATTATATAAGGTATATACATAAAAAATATATATGTTTTAAACATTTAAATTATCTTTCAAATGTACATATTATGTATATTAGATTACATTATATATTTTATATTACGCATTTTTTTACATTTAAATTTATACGTCAAGAAAACACATGTAAAAATATATGGAAAACATACGAGTAAAGAATAATATTAATATGTTCCGTTATTTTACATTACAAGTTTTCTTCTTTTTTCTGGTCGGTTTATAACCAGTTTTCTCTACTGCGATGGACTTTTACTTATGTCCATCAGACAATTATAAATTCATGAAGTAGCTATAGACTATACTTGAAAATTCTGCAGGTTCGGCGAGAACGTGCAAAACCTATGATTTGCCAAGTTCACAAATAACGAATAACATTCAGCGGCGATGAAAACTTTCTGCGAAAATGCCAAGCGACTACATAAGATCTGACCACTGTGTTTTTCATTAAATTAATCTAGTTTCGATACATAGCTTCTGAAATACCATTAGAACTATTATATTGTTCGAATAGATTTTTTTGATAATTTTTACAAGTTTGAAAGTTGTGTTCAAATGGTACAAGAAGACTTTTTAAAAAATTTGCTTTTGGAATATTTATATTTACTTAGCTCGATTAACTTACTGTCTGAGAAGTCGCACGGAAAGAAAGTAAAGAAATGTAAAGTTTCTCAAAGTTTTTTTATATGCTATATTTAACCAATTTTACTGGCTCTCGATGAAGGTATTCACACACAAGTATACATATTCTTAGAAAAATTATACTCCTTATATTTCTGGAGATATTTTTAATTAAATTTTAAACATTTCGCGTTTTTTATACATATCTTTACTTTTGGATAAATACTACTCAATTAATGAGAGAAATATAATTTTATCATAATCCTACGATTTCGTTAAATATTCAATTTTGGATTTTTGGGCACATTTACCCCAAAATAATACTACTTTAAACGGATATATGCGTAGTTTTCTTTCAGAGCTGGATTCGATTTTCAATTTTTGACACAAGTAATTTTTTAGCTTCGTGCATCTCTTTATTTTTGAGGAAACATCCGTTTCGATTGGTCGCGGGCCACGTTCCATGACGATATCTAGAAACGAGAACGACAGCGGTTCCTTATCAGATCGATGAAGAGGCGGCGCCGCTACCCCAGCAACCAAGGGGTAGGCAGGCTCTGCCAGCGAAGCGTTCAACGAATGGGGTTGTAGCTGGGCTTTCAACCCCGGCATGGCTTCCGCTTTGCCGCTTTTCGATTTTAGTGCAACGAGAGACCACCTGAGCGACCGGAACACGATAGGTGGTCTGTCGACAAGAAGCTACGAGAGGTTTTGACTTTCTCGGCGAAATCTCGAAACAACTTGAAGAGTATTTAAAGACTGTTTATAGTTGCGCGATAGTGTTCTTCGAAAGAATTATAAACACACAGTTGCGATGTTTGAATAATTCATGCAACGAATGGAGAAATATTTAAATTATCAATGCAAATGCAATTAAAAAATCTCGAGAAGATAATCTACGGAATATTTCAAGATTCTTTAAATTCTCACATACAGTGGTGTTTCGTAGAAGATTTAGAGGCAATAATTGTGACAGTTTGCAAATCTACAAACATTTAGAACATCGAGTGAAATTAAAACGAAATCAGATAATATGAGATAGGTTCTCTAATAATAGGTTCTCAAGAATATTTAAAATCTCATACAAGTTTTCTCAGTTAATTGAATTTTGAAGAATTGCAAACAATGCATAATCTATTTAAATAATAAAGAAATCTGATCTGAATAACAATCGGTGCAATTATAAAGTGCAATCTAAAAACTGAAGAATGGGATTCTGAACAAATATTCGAAGATTGAACAAATTATATAATAAAAAAAATAGCCAGACAATAATAATTAAAGACTAATGTTTCGAGATTTTAGTTGAAAAAAGTTGAAAAAATTCTAAAAAATCTCGCATAACATATTTTAATAAAAAAATAAATAAAGTTATTCGCGATCTATAAAAATTAATAATAAATGAATTAATAAAGTAATGTAAGATCTAAATTCACTAAAATGATACAAATTATTGCGTTCAATAACCGCTATCAAAGTGCGACTGCAAATGAGCGAATGAAATAAAGATCTGTGAAAAATCTTATTAAAATACGAGAAAATAAAAATATAAAGAAATGCAATAAAAATTGTTCTTAAAGAAACATTATCGAGAGCATCTGTGAAGAAATGTCTGCGACCTACAATTGGCGGAATAATGCAACCCCGAATTTGTTTATCTCGACGTCGTAAGTGGCATTGTCACGGCTAGATGCGAGCCAAGGCATTTCGAACAACCGATTAACAAGTGTTACGTTAAATCTCGACACGTGCCCGGAGCGGTTCACCAAGGCACGTGTCGTTGTGTTTAGAAATATTACCCTGCACGCGCCTAGAGCTCGACACGTGTCGATCCTATCTCTCGATCCTCGAGACGTGGTCGAGTGTCCGTAGGTGCGCTTCGTAAATAATATGTAATTATCAAGAGGATTTAGAATCCAGTTACAATCATTCAGTCAATAAATCCAAAATGCTTAACGCGAGGAATTAAATGACGTGACGACACATCAGTTTCACTTACGTCTAGTCAAGCGACCTAGTCATATCACTTTTGCTCTGGACTTTACGATAAATCGTATTGTAATTAATACAATTGTAAGATTCGCAATATTAAGTATTAAATTTGAGTGGTCATCGGTGAATATCATTATCATCATCATCATCATGTATTCGATGGACAATCTCGAGCGGGATATGATGAACCGGCAGTACATTTACGAGGCGCACAGCTTCCTAGGAAATCCGGCGATCCCTACGTTGCCACCGCATTGTGGGGTACCAACGACGGCGACGCTTCCGGCTGTCATCCCGTCGCAGCTGCCATCGTCTCACCATCCCTCCGGTAGCACCGGCAGCACCAGTGGCAGCGAGCACTACCTGTACGACGAGAACAGCAGCGACAACGAGAGCGTCTACAGCAGCGATCAGGAGAATCACACGAGGGAGTGAGTATCCTGGAAGTGCCTCGCGGAAGATGCTTCCTTTTCGAGTTAGCCTCTTGAATTTTTTTCGACGGCTCCACAAGAGCGATTTTTCCTGAAAATTAGATTTTAAATTTTAAATTCCAATCTAATGAAATTCACTTTGAGATTCATCTCGTTTAGCTTACACAGAAAAAAAGAAGTGTCAAATCAAAACTTATATACTTAAATTAACGCGTTCATTGTTTCGTATATATGCAACAATTTATAATTTTCTTAGAAGAATTTAATAATTTTAAATTTCAGCAATATTATAGTCTTATTTTAATATTGTAATTGTCACCTTAAGAATATATAATTATTTAATTCTACTTTAAGGAAATTATAATCTTTGAGTTAAAAATGTTATTTTTTATCCAACATTGTTTCTTTTCCATTCAAGAAAATTAAATCTTAAATCATAAGAATATATTTTTCTTGATTGAACTGTATAAAATGGTTTCATTCAAGTAAGCAATTATTCAAGCAATTATATTTTTCTTTAATTAACTCAATATAATCTCATTTCAAGATTTCCATGTTAAAATTAAATATATTTTCAAAACAAGAAGGTCCTTTTTTTCTGTGTAGCCACTTCTGATCTTCTGATCAGAAAATATATTTAAAATAGTATTTTCCTGTTTTGAGGGGATGCAATTGTTAAGTGTAGGATTAGAAATAGATCACGTGCATTTTTCGCAGACGAAGTCGAGGTAATCGGCGCAGCGGAGCGTCGGGAAAATGTCCGAGACAGGTGCAGGTACAGCAGCGGCAAGCGGCAAATATGAGGGAGCGAAGGCGCATGCAAAATATAAACGATGCTTTCGAGGGCCTGAGGGCCCACATACCAACTTTGCCGTACGAGAAGAGACTATCGAAAGTCGACACGTTGAAGCTGGCGATCGGTTACATCAACTTCCTCAACGAGCTCGTGCGGACGGACAAGGGTAACGATCCGCTGACGGGCAGTAGCGGTCTCTCCAGATGTTCTAGCCGGGACGATTCTAAGAAGATCATAGTTCGTGGTGAGGCCAATTCCGATTACATCTGTAATGATCTCTTGATTAAGATCGATGCTATAGGTCACTTTGTTTATCGCTTCAATTCATTTAAGTTAAATCTTTACATTTAAATTTTTCTGCAAATTTTTGATATAAAATAATAATATATAAAAGTATTAATAATTATTAATATTCTAATAAATAATAAGTATTAATATTCTATTTTAATATCTGTTTATATTGTAAAAAGTTTGATTTACGTAATCTTTGATGAAATTGATAATAAAATTTTTTAAAAATCACCAATTTTTTGACAATTTAAAAAAATTGAATCGTAAATAATCAAAATGTTTTAATATTATTTTTTTTTAATCTACAATATAACATCATATATCATGCAGTTTACAATTCAAATTTTACAACGTGATGCACAATCCGACCTCGCTGACATTTCACCCGTGATTTGATTTTGATTACATTTCCACGTGAGATTTAGTTTAATGCACAACATGTCGCGCTTCACGCTATTTCGATATTATATATGCACAAAATATTAACATCGGACCGACTACTTCCGCCTCGAAATCACATAGGTCGATTTATCATAATTATCCATCTACCCTTTATTCCAAGACAGGTGTCCCCGATAGATACAGGGTGCGTCGCGATAAATTATTGTCCAGAGAAATTGAGAGATTATCAAAAATTTTTAAAGCCCCTAAACTATCCATTATTTATGTTTCCTGCTTTTTCACAAGTTACAGAGTGATATTCCTTTTCTGACATTTTTAAATTTTATAACATAAGTTTCAAATTCTCATATATTCGAGGGCACTAGTACTTTTTTTTCAAAGTGATAATTATATATCTTTCACAAATAAATAAAAATAAAAATATGTATCTTTTTCTGACAATTTTAATAAAGATAATTTTTATCGCGAACTGCTACTTATTTTCAGGATGCGGTGGAAATCCATTTATCTCGCATTCGCTCTCGTGGTCGAGAAAATCGGACATCTCGCCGAATGGCACGATGTACGCGAAAGTTTGGACACCGGAGGATCCGCGAACGTCCAAAAGCGGGACGCCTTTCGAATAAACGGAGCATTCGAAGAAAAATGTATGACTTTATTCGTAAGATTCTCTTATACAAGGGAAGAAAGGATATGTCATTCGCAATGAACAAGGACGTTCCTCTCGCGTGTTATTTAGTGTCTAAGAAGAAGCGTTTCTAGTCACTAACCCTTGTGAGAGAGATTTGTATTTTTCATCTAATCTTATTTTTGATTCTTTATGATTCTTTAAGCAAATATAATTGCTAATAATTATATTAATATTTATTTATGTCTCGCGAATTCATCAAAAAAGCGATTTTATTATAACAAATCAAATAATTGCAAATACACACATCACAAGAGAAAAAATATTTTGTTTGCAAATAAAAATAACATTCATTTTTTTATAGATAAATGCAATCTAAATATCTCTTTAAAGGAAATGAATTTTAACTTTTTTAAACAAATAGTATAATCGATCTTCCCGATTTAGATTTTATTTTTAAAAAGAAAGTAAATTGAGTTTATTTTGCAACAGCCAATTCAGTTTCCATCTTTTCATCCTTTGTACCATCAAATCTATACATCTGTATATCTATGAAATATTTTTACGAACGTTCAGCAGGACGTGGTTTGTAAATAAAAATGATCAAAATAGAATTAAAAGATAAGTACATCGTTTATACATCATTATCGCGGTAGAATAATAGAGATGATGTGCGGCGAGCATCATCATCACCATTGTGAATAACAAAGCCAAATAAAAGTAGTTCTGAAAATTTGTCTATCATCTATTTCGCAAACCTTTAAAAAGTGCAATTGATATGAAATAAAATTCATGTTTTTTCTGACAGATTAGAAATCGATGCATAAACCTTCAGGTAAAATTTCCCGACAATAAAAACATCGCAAACTTTAAAAACTTTTTTGCTTGTTAAATTAAGTCAAAAGTTTATGTTTAAATAAGATATTATCACCTATTTCTTTGTTAACTACCTAAGTTTTATAATTAAAAGTCGGGCGAGATAGATTTGGAAGATCTGCCATTATTTGCAAGGTATCTTTCAAACTCATCAAATTTCGCATTTCAAGAACAACGTTCTCGACAACAGTTTTGCATTAAAAGAGGGTAGTGGCAAGATGGCCGAAACCGCCGAAGAGTTGATAACTGAAACACCCTAAAAGTGCTTCTTGTGTTTCGCGTGGGGGTGGATCCGGAGAGAGAGAGAGATATAGCAAGGAGAGAAAAAGAGCAGGAAACGGAGGGACATACGGTAGGCGGTACGTCGATATTGCGGCGTCGCGACGCTCTGCAACTCAGCAGGGATAATGGCGTCGACGGCTGCGAGTCTTCTCACGATCCTCCGTTTTTCCTCCTCGTCATTGCGACGACGGGGGCCGAAACGCGTCCTCCTCGAGTCCTCCTTCTCGCTCTCATCGCGTTCCAGTTGCCGGCGCGGCTCGAACGCTTCATTATCGCACGTCATTATCGTCATTAACAACTTCAAAGCTGCAAACACACAGTGCGAAAGATAAGAAACTTCAATCTCTCTCGCGCATTGCGTTATTACGCGCTCGCACGCATCGGGAAATCGTTTGGTTACGCTTCGCGATTTGCAGTCACATCTATAAAAACGTCTTAATTATTATTTTACAATCATATAATCACATATGTTTCTTTGTAAATTCAGGGATTTTATAAAAAACTCTTTTATATTTATTTATTTATTTTATAAAAAGCTCTTTTATACGATGTTTTTTTTACAAAAATTCTAGACTCTTTTTATAGAAAGAAAATTACTCAATTACAAATAAACTATAAAATTAATTAAATTTACAAAGAAACCATAAAATACGTCGTTAAGTAAATATCTAAATAATTATACGTTATATCGGATAAATAAATATTTGAATGAAAACTTTAATAAAAGTGTTTTTAATAAAAATGGAAAAACACATATATAGCCGAGTTTTAACCCGAAATTCGGAGTTATCAGTTAATCAAACCTAGATAAAATATAATACGTGAAATGTATTCACTTGGAGTGCATGACCCGCAGAACGGTGGGCCACTATCAGCTGTGAAAACATCGTTGTTTATAGACACCGCAGTACAATGAGGTGTAATTGAATCCATATTCTACGGGGTGTGCCCGGTGAACCCGAACTCTCCCCCATGTCCAAGGGACTAGTGGAACCACTCCTCCCTCCTCTTTCCCGTTCAATTGCTGCCTTCGGGGTGGCTGTATTTAACGGTTCGGGAAATCGAGGGTGGTTGTCGATTTGTGGACAATTAGGGACGATTTCGTGGCACCGGGGGGCCCAAAAGAGAGAATAGAGCGCAAGTCGCCTAACCCCGATCGATTCGCAATCTCCCTCGTGTCTGATAAGACGCGTCTTCTGCTCGATAAGTCCATGATCTTCGATTCAGTCCGCTGAATTTTAAAAGAAAAATCCGAAATAGCCATAAATAATTTCTATTTTTAACTAAGGAATGTGATGAAACTTAAATATTTATTTAATAAACTTATTTTTTCTATTTAACATCTAATTTATAGATCACAAGATTGTGATATTTAATTTTATATTAGCTAAATTTTTAAGTTTCTATGAAAAAAGCTTAATATTCAAAGATGAATATAATATTTAAAAAATATAGATATTATAATTTTTCTCATAAAGACAAAGAATTGATTAATTTCTTTATGGAATCTGAATTGAAAAAAAAGAACTTGCACTGGATTTGAGATATAATTTTTTTGACAGTAGATTTCATTGAATAATAACGATCCTAGATAAAGAATTAATAGTAACGATAATATACAATAGTACTAAAAAGATAACGTATCAAAGCTAACATATCAAAGATATTCTTATCAGACATTCTCGACAGAAAATATGAGTTGATTTATGCAGTCGAATGACCGAGAGTTTATCTAGGTTGACGCAGGTGTGTCGATACACACCTGCCCTTGTCGTTTGCATACTTGATCAAGAGAGATCACAATTTTTCTAACAATTTATCCTAATATACGAACCAAGTAAATAAGAAATATTTAACATATAACATATTATACGCTAATAAATATATAACATATTAATCCAAGCGACACAATTTATAATCAATTCTTAAATTATATGCAATACGTCAAAGAAATCACGAAATATTTCACGAAATATTTCTCTCTAAAAATAATGTTTTCTACAATTTTATTCTTTAACGATTACTTGTTAAAATGTAAAAAAAATCTATAAAAGATAAATTTATAATTTATTCGCGACAATCGAAATAATAGATAATTTAATCCGGAAAGAAGCGGTTATCGGGAGGCGCGAAAGTTCGGTGCTCCGCATTGAACCTAATCTGCTCTAACGTCACGGTACGATGATCCCGTGAAAATTAGCAAACCATAGAATCCGGCCCCCGTTCATAGAGAGACTACGCATTAGGAGTACCCTCTTGTCGCAAGGGGGGCACTTGTGTTGATCCTCGCAGCTGGAGTGACACACAAATAAAGTATTAATTCTCGATTCTCATGTCGCAATAATGGTACCCGACATCCGTGCGTTACAACGTAACACGGAGATGTAATAGCGCCCGAATGAAGATATAATACTCAACTCCCCTCTCCACTCGCGACATTCCGACTACGTTACACGTATTTTTTTAGAGGATTTTTGACTCAATATTTTAAATAATTTTATTTTTATAATTCTTTTAGAAATTATTATACTAAAAATAAAATTTTCTATCTAACTTTAATTTTTATAAAAAGATTAGATATGCGCTCTTATGTCAGTCGCAATCGAATATGAAAAATATCAGAAATATAAGACTCTTTGGCTGATTCAATCAATTAAAAAGCGTTACACGATTTAAATACAAATCTAACAAAAATTGAATTTGCATTTATTCGAGATATATCATCTCTTTCAAATTTATTTCGATAAAACATAATTTTGATAATTTGTGTTTAACATTATTTGAAATTTACGTGATATCGAGTGAAAACGAGAAGTATAGAACTTGTTAAATGCACCCCTTTCGAACAGTATCAGAATAGACTCAAGAGACTGGGAGTGAAGCAGAGCTAAGTCGAAGAGAGCATTCATCCACCCCGCAGCTCGACTTACCCTCTGGGGGGCGGTTGAAATTGGGGCACGCAAATACCTAGGCAGCTGCACCCTTCGAATGATTGCTAGATGTCCATCCCAAAATATATCTACCCCTGAAGTCTCTCGAGTTCGCTTTCGCGCTTGCATCGGTTTCAATGTGCCCCCTTCATCCCACTCTGCGAGCTTTATTATATTCCAATCATTTTCTCGCACCTCTAATTTAAGCCCGATCATAAATACATCTCTACCATTGTGACGTACTTTTCAGCAAAAAAAGAATATAATCATAAGATACACGTATTAAAAAAAGAAAAAGAATTAAAGTGATTTTTAAAAAATCAAAATTTTGACATATCTATAAAATATAATAAATAGAAAATATACGAGTATTTATAAATACTTTGAAAATATTAAATAATTATATATAGAAATTGCATAGAAATTAACAATAAATTATAACAAAGATTATATCAAGCGCTCACTTTTTTCTTTTTTATAGTTACGATATTCATTTTTATTATAATATATCATCTAATATTTCTGATAATTCTTCTAGCGATTATTTAGCAGGCATAATAATTAGAAAAGAAATTAATATCTGATTTTCAACATCCTCGAAAATCTCTCGATCCTTGCATCCGATATAATCACGTGCGCGCTACGTGTAAATTCAGCTTCATCTCGATAAGAATCTAAAATCTACCGTTAAATCCAGCGTGAAAATTCACAATAACCTTCTGAAAGAAATCCTATTAGTTTATATTTTACATAGGACAGCGTTGCGGACGCATCTAATGCTGTAACAATGAATACTCTATCGATTTGCTATGAGGGAGATTATGTGCGCAAATATATGTATCATATCATTGTTAAAATTTACCATGGAATTGTTATAAATGCAAAAATATCTAAAAATGAAAAATTAAAATTATTTTTTGTGCTAAAAAAATCTAGATTCGAGAGACAAAAAAAGAAAAAAAAGCAATTTATGCTTATTATATATAATTAACTATACTATATATAAAAGATGCCGCATTTAATACGGTTTTTCCTTCCGTCAATATTTTTATCCTTCTAATATTTTCAATTAAAAATTATTTCTCATATATATATATATATATATATATATATATATATATATATATATATATTAAAAAAATTATTAAGATCTTAGTCGAAGTCTTCGACTCTCTCGTCTCTCTTTTTATGAATGAATGAATAAACTGAATCTGTGATGTACAGATTAATATAATTCCCGATTACGTGGCATATAATTTCCGCGATTCGATCGGAAATGACAGCAATTCCGATTCCGACTTTCTCTCCTCGCTCTTCGACAAGAAACCCGTCTTCGGCATTATCTGCGATATACAGACTGCTCACATGCTTTCGTATAATATTGATTCGTCGGAGACGAGGTCGCAGGTGAGACTTCCCACGATCGTTGGCCGCACAGAGAGCGAGCAAGCGAGAAAGAGAGAGAAAGAGAGAGAGAAAAGAGAAACATCACCGCGGAATTGTCCGCGTGGATTGCCGTGCTTGTGTGCACTAGGAAGTCGTGAAAGTTTCACGTTTTCCTCGATGGGAGAATAGTAATTCCTGAATCAAGCTTCTTGCTAAAATATAATGAGTAACTTTCTGTATGTGTGGTACATCTATCTTTTTGTTCACTTAAATCGACATATTTCATTAAGATATTCTAGCTTGATGTTCCACAAGTTTGTACCATAATGCTCTAATGCTGTCGTAAAATCCGCGACATACCTATATACATTCACATACAAAATAACATTTATATAACGCAATTTCAGTACAAAATAATTTCTGTATCTCTCTATAAATTTTGAAAAATTTTATATAAAAAACCGCAATGTATTTGTTAAATAATTACTAATTATTAACAATGAGTATGACGGAAAAATATATTAGATTTATGCGACAAAGAGAAATATGTAAAAGAAACACAAAAATATTATATACTAATTAATATTAATAATTTTGTAAATATATATATTATATTAATTATATATTGTTAATTTGTGTTGAAAAAAAAGATTAAATCGTGCATAAAACAAAGAAATTTACGGGAAGATTGCCCGAAGCAGGATTGTATCTCGGGCGACTTGTATCACATACAATCATTTCGTCTTTTTTTATTGTATGCACAATTACATTACAAAATCGTATCGCTTAGCGTTTACATTCCTCGCTCAAATTATTTATACAGGAGGAACAAGATTTCTAAAACGAGTGAAAATGGCATGTTCGTTACACAAGTCCATAATTTGTAAAATTCATTTCATGTATAAAGATACAAATTATCTTATTAATCTTTTAATTATCGAATTTATCTTTTCGATTCGTCATATCGTCCGTTTATCAGAGAAGTGGTCCTCATTGTTGACGACTATTTACATCATCTTTTGCGTCGCGAGCGCAATAAGAAAAGAATAATCAGCCTTTTTTCACGTTAGGATACTCCGTTTCTCTTTCTATATCTCGTTTAAAAACACTTGTGACATTGAATACGCTGTATCTCGCTTTGTCTCGATTAAATTATGATTCGCGCATGTGTACATAAAATTCAAAAGTCATCTTCAATTTCTCTTCCTGCACACAATGAGTCCGCATTTGCTCGCATGCAAAAAAAAAAGAGCTCCAAGATTTACAATCTTCGAAGAGCACGACACACTCTATTTATAGTATAAGCTAGCAATTGAAAGTACAATGGCGTGTAATTGCGATGCGAGTATCGAGAGATCACGTTCTTCACATGCATAATTATGGAAATCGCAAGTATCGATTTTTGCAATAACAAGAAACTGCGAAAAAAAATCGGATGTAAATTTGACATGCAAAGATCCGAGATGCAACGTGGAAAAACATGATGAAAAACAAGTTGTTTCTTCTATCTCGGTTCAAATTATATAATTTTTGACAAGTAGAAATATCTGTATTGAACCTCATGATTTGGTCTGATAAATTTACAAAAAAAATTACAAATACTTTATTATACTGCTATTTTATTGTTTAACTTATGTCTCAATTTTGTCGATAGAAAACAGTGATAAAAAATGTAGAATGTCTGTCATTTTTCTCCTCTTTCTAATTATAAATCGATTCCATGATAAGCACCGATATATCTACATCGCTAAATGCGAATGACACGTAATAAAACTAATCTAAACGTATAATTGATTTGTTACATCGGTTCTCGCGTATATACAATTATATACAAAATATGTAAATCGTTCACGATAGATTTTTATAAGTGGAAAATTAACAGGACAAACAAACTGTAACAACTCGTAGGAGGAACTGGGAAAATGTTTTTCTTTTTTAAGTTCTTCACGAGAACACGGAAAAATTTCAGAAAATATCGTAGGAAAGTGTGACAATTTATTTGGTAAAAGTGTCCATTACATGAGATTTAATCGCATCGCTCTTAATGAGATAAGATCTTACCTATGAAAGTAAAACACGCACGATCGTTAACATCGATGTGACCTCCAATGATGTGAAATCTTTACGCAATCTTCTCCACGTCGTTGGAGAAGGCTTTGGATACGAAACAAAAATTACTTAATTAATGTTCTCGGTCGCGAGAGCCCGATTCTCGGATGATTAGGAACACAATTGTTTTCTTTGTACCTCTGATACCTGGAGGTTGAACACAGAAACGCAGACAATCGAACTTTCTTTTTTTTGTCTCTTGTACCTGACAGAAATGATGGGACATGACGATAAGTAACTGACCGAGAAGCAAATGATGGGCAGTTATAGCCGAAGAGGGAAAAAAAAGCTTCACCGACTCTCTCATTCATACCCACATGCACGCAACATACACGCATGACGACGACGACGATGACGACGATGACTTTTATCGAAGTCAATGACTAAATAGATGTGCAAATAGCCTTTTCTTGCGTCGCGATATCGCACCGAGTTTTTTTTTTCTACGTTCTACGCGTACGCTTTGACATAAGCCGTCTAAGAGATTCAAGAAGTTTAATGATTCGATTGAAAAAATTTGGCACAATTAGCTGTGAAAAAATATCATCGTACTGTTCTCTCTGTAACTTCGTTTTTTTTTTCTTCTCTTTTTGTCTCTGCTAGGATATCGTGTACAACTGTTATTTCACGCTGCATTTAATTCCTGTAATATCGCCTCGCGCGTACCGTATATAATATCACCTAACAATACAGTCGATATTACTACTGATAATGTATAAAATACTCTTCAGTAGTATAAACGCGATGTTTCGTGTCTCCACATTACGCGTATTTTTTTTCTTTTTTTGTTTTTCTTTCTTTTTATTGTTAGAAATCCTAGCGAACTTCCGACAAGGTCGTCAATCATGAAATTCACCAAATCAGTACGAGCAATACGCAGTTTGGAATCCGATACTGTTCATCGTACATTCTTAAAGAGCTACGAAGAGTTTTTTAGACAGAACAAATTCGATTTTCATATAAATTATGAATGAGAGAAACTTGATTTAAGTTTTTAATACTCTAATTTAAAATACTTTAAATTTAAGTGCTTAAATGAGAATTTTAAATGTATATGCAACAAAAATAAAAAGACGCTTTGAATCGATTACAAATTTAAAAAAATGAATTTTGTCCCGTTCATGCAGTCATGTCTCTTGTAATAAACCTATGTTTAAAGCGTTTACAATATTTAAAAAAATAGTGTTATATAATCGTGACTCTTAAGAATGCATGATAATTCGACAACTGTATTATATCATATCGTACTCCCGCGGCACAATCGACGTACACAAGGAAAACTCGGCAGAATTTTGCGTAATAAACTGATTCTCCCTGAGTGGTGATAAGCTATTCTGTAGGTTTGGTGTTTTCATGTCTACCTCCCGTATCCCCATTTATCGTCTCGAATATTATACAATATTACTTTTTTTATCGTACAGTTTAAGCCTAGATTCCTTAATTAGTTTTCTCTTTCGCTTAAAAATCCCCGTTTCTAATCTCTAATCGGACTTACAAATTTAGTCAAGAGTACAATCGGTTCCCTTATTTATCTTATTATCCCTTAACCACCCCTTTAACGCGTTCGGGCTGATGCGAGCTAATACTTTTACGTAAAATACATTATACTTAATATTTTTTTCTGTAAAAGGAAGAAGGAAAAAATGTGATATCTCGTGGTCTTTCGATTTAGGACACATCGTGTCGATTATAATAAAGAACACAATACGGTAAAATGTCAGTCGATCCCTAACTCTTTAAAATTTTCTCTCGCGGGCAGTTTCTCTGATGCTGTTCCAATGGCAAACGATACAGCATGATCACTGAAAGGTGGTTTAGGGAAAATTTCTGTTTTGTACGATGAATTCGAATATACGTATGTGTATATCGTAGTTCGTTCAACTAGTTTCTTTGCGAGGCTGAAAATTCTCGTACTATGCTCATAACCACGGTGCAAAAATAAAGCGTCAGCATAAAACATATTATTCTGCGAGTGTGTGAACCTCTTTCATTTTTGTTTGATGTCTGCAAATGCTGTGACATGTTCCAATTTTACAATTTCGACGACACGAGGACATGTTTTCCCATGTGAGGAAATTGTCGGGCCAATCACGTAGCGGACGATTCTTATCAATATCTTTTTTTTTTCCTTTTTTTTACAACTGCGTCGCTTTACATTGCCATGTCATTTTGTGATTTTGCATATTTATTATATGCAAATTTCCTTGTCGATTTATCAAAACGTGCTACTTTATGTTATATACCGTAGCCTTTGAGCGAAATACCTTACATATTCTCTTACAAAGTCTTATTTTCTAAAATCGTTCTCTACTGTACCGTCCAGTACTTTTGATTTTTGCGATTTGCACATGACATTGCTCGCTCTCAGAAATTATAGGCGTGAGTACAAAAATGTAACGCTATCTTTATAAAACGCAGCACAAAACGGATTAATTTCAATTTCGATATACAAGCATATACACTGTTTTTAAGCAATTATAGTTCATCTTTCATACAATCATTTCTCATACTTTACAGGATTACTTTACAGCCGAATGTCCGTATAGCGATGCGTCGTCGTATTGTGATCTTGTCTATTGTATGAATTAAAACCATGTAATCATAAAATGATGTTCTTGTTAGCTCTTCGCTTTTTCATTTACATTTGCCGCTATTAGAGCAAAAAAATGAGTGAAAAACAGAGCGCATGTTTTTACTCTAATTCCATGCATATACTGTTACAAGAAAAAATGCAAATCGTGGGAAGACTTTATAACAAGAAGTGTTTGGTCCCGACGATTTCACAATACAGGCAGTCGACTGTACTCGCGCGTATTGCGATCAATACATACACATATACATATATAAAATGTGTATCGCAAGTATTCACAGGTTTTTTTCATTATCAAGATTTGTGCCGTTCGATCTTATTACTCGTTACATTTTTAAATAAATTTTAATCATATTTTCTTGGTAAAATCTAGCTAGAAAAAAAAATGAAAAAGTAATTTATTTTTTCATTACAAAATAAAGTAAAATTCTTTACTGCATGCATTTATCTCAGAATACTGCAATTGCAATTATCTCTATACACAAATTGACATATATAATAAACTCAAAATATTTAATATTTCACAATGATCAGATTTTAATATATAAATTTTTATATAATTGCTATGTAAACTGTGAAAACTTAAAATATATTTTATATATGTTAAAAATATCAATAATGTGATTGATCGCAGAGTTATTGCCATTAAAATGCAATCAAATAATTATTAACTTAATAATTATTATTGGAATATTGTGTTTCTAATCCATGGATCAAACAATGGCACAACACTTCTGTTTCCTTGTCATTTTTTCCAAAATTTATGCAACAATGCTGGTGAGAAATAATAGGTTTGTTCTTTTTAGCTGAATTTTCTAGTCCTGCACTGGGACTGCAATAGCAAGTTCATAGAAAATTCTGCTAGTGCACGAGTACAACAAGCAATAGGTTCAACAGTATTAACAGGAAAAGTTTCAGTACAGTATTAACATGTCACATCAAAATATAAATATAGAGAAATATAAATAATCTATAAGTAGTAGAATTACCTGATGAAGAAAAATTTATTTGTAAATAAAATTTATTTAATTACAAATGTATAGAAAAATTATTTTAATAAATTCAATTATAATAAATTTATATAATTAAATTAATTAATAATTATTGATTATACTTAAAAATTTATTTTAAGTTTATTTTTTTAAATTTCTCTGTTAAATAATAATTTTATTTAATTATATTCTTTATATATATCAATTTATATGACTGTATATGACTGTATATTTTCTTTTTCGCAACTAATGCGTTATTAATTAAAGGTTAACTACTGTTTAAATACATTGCCATATTGAACTGCACTGCTAAAAAAGAAGCAGCATCTGACATCACTTCTGCTAAAAACAACATTTCAGTGTACACTTCTTAAACTAGTGCAATCAGTTCAGCTAAAAAGAACAAAGCTGATATCAATTAAATTCATTGGATTGAGGAGATTTGAATGAAAATGGGATGGGAAAACAAATGAAATGTTAAAAGAAACGATCATGCGTTCGCTAGAGAATGTCGAATTGCGATCAACCTACTTCACAGCTCTTGTTGGCGAAAGGCAGTGCTCGTCTTGTACATTTGAATATTCTCTGTTTTTCTTTACGCATAAGATTAGAATATACATTAAATATTAGCTTTGAAATAGGTTGCACTCAATATCATCATTGTCGTATAATACACGCGCTGCGACTCTTAATGGTGGTACGCTAAAAATTGGCAAGCTATATTGTAAGTAAAGCACATTATCTTTAAAGGCGAAATATAATATAGTGTGTATAATAACCGAATTATGCAATCGGCAAACGTATCGAAACTGATCGATGATTTGGTTTTTTTTCCATTTCATTCCAAAATTACGTGCTTTCCATATTAATTTTTCGAAAAATTTCATGTACATATCCTTTTATCGCACCACCAGAAATATACGCAGTTTTACCGTCATTAGAGAATGTACACTTACTATATTATTGCTATTTAACGCGATAGATTAACTTACAGTCTAAGATTTGTACATCTGTGGATTTGCTGTTCACATATGATGATGCCTACAAAGAGAGATAAAGAATATGTCTCAAATGTATACCTAACCGTGATTAAAGAAATTTTAATTAAGTAAAATTTCTATTATAATTAAGTTTCAATAATAATGGATTCTAATAAATGGGGAATTATCTTTCATAAAAATCTGCGAGACTAATCTTCCTAACTGCTGCTTCGTTTTAAGTTGCATTTTTTTACGTCACTATAAATTCTAATTGAGCCTCAAATTGTGACAGTTTCAATGTACGTATAACTCGCATAAAATCGTGCATATAAAAGTACATGTTAAACAAAATAGTTAAGGAATATTAGATCTGATTCAATGAATACGTGAACACGTTACTTTTTAATGAGATCCACCATAATATCTCTATCGGATACGTGCAAAGATTGATTTTGTACAGCGCATATGTGATTGGATATATAACAACTTTAGATAGATTCTCATGGAAAGATATAAAGATATACAAATGTATGTCTGTACATTTATAAACTGCAATCAACATCACTAAAGTGATGTTATCAAGTAAGAAAGTAATTACCGATAAACGTGGCATAGAAAATGTATATCAGTCAATATCTCACGAAGAAGCGCAGTTAGGTCTCTCTTGCAATGAGATTGGCTTCTTTGACGTTCGATAACGGTATACGCGACAACGAATCTTGTTCTATTAATTAAAATATGCGGCTGCCACATTGTTTGTATCTACCTTCAGCTGGGTTTACCCGGTGGCCCGTGGCTGGTCGGCGAAGGTCCGTGCGGATGGAGATTATGAACGTTGCCTACTTGATTACCAGTGAGACTGGACATAGTAGGCTGATACATCGACGGTATGTAACTGCTCGACGACTGCGACGCCGACCTAGCGATTAATAATAAATATTATATATAAGAAAATTATGTCTAGCATATCGAAGATAATGTAAAAATATTTAGTTTATTACCTCGGCACTCCGCGTAATGGATCCGGCGTGACAGATGAATTACGGACCACACCGGAAGTGTTCGCCGGTGCCGGCGATACTATGTTGCTCGGTTGACCTTGAAGGTATCCACCTCCGGCTGGACTGTGCCTATTTCATTGAAATAAAGTTGAATCTCAATTATATTAACTGACAATTATATTGATGATTCGCGAAGAGAACCAAAGCGTTACCTAATTGTTGGGCTTGGTTGTGGCGCGACCAATGATCCACGATGCTGATACTGAGAGAGAGAAGCTGCTGCAGGTGGGGAGGGATCCGGTGGTAAACCGTTTTCCAACGTCGTTGGATGACCGCTGGAACTGGAGTGAGGCATATAAGTGTTGTTCACTCGCGGTTCGCGACTCGATCTAGGTACCGGGGCCGGAGCGCCAGGCGGCACTTCTGAGTGCGAGACATTAGGATGAGAGGGGTTCACCGTTGGATGTATATTATTCACTGAAAATAATTAAAATACATGCTAAATGTTGTAATTCATATAAATGAAGTAAAAGATATCATGAAATGACTAATCTAACTAACCTGGATGTGAACTAGGCTGAGTTGTCAACGGAATAGCGAGTCTAGCATTCACAGCCAATAAATGGTCTCTCCTCTGCAGGAGATTATTTACATGTTCCTCTAGCCTAAGATTCTCAGCTCTCAATTGATGTAGGCAGGAAAGCAGGGATGCAACTGCAACAGATTTCAATAATGTTGCTGGTTTAGTCTACTTAAGTGTAGGACGCTTATTTCACATTAAATGATCAAAGCTTGCATGTCAAAAATATCAAATTAAAAAAAATAGTTATATATATATATAAAAAAAAGATAATTTTACTACAAAAAAATATAATGAGAAGCGTATCATGCAGGTTTTTTTTGTAGAAAATGCTTTTTAAAAAATAAAAGCACGAACTCTGTTCCTTGCTAAATCCATGCAATTGTAAGGGAGTTTTTCATCATATACTCACTGTCAAAATGTTGAGCTTGCTCCATTAGAAATTGACTTCCCTGCTCCCATTGCCTTTCTAGAAGTTGATCCAGTGTCTGTGGAATTGTTCCACCACCCAGAGTTCCACTAGTACCGGGTGTAGGATTCGCACTATTGCTGTTTGTGGAGAAAACCGAGGAAAACGAAGTAGGCGGTCCCGGTTGGCTAGATCGTATCTATTCATTGAAACAACATCAATTATAGTGTATAATTTACATTGTATTACATTGTTATATTGTTATGTTATTGTCTTGAATTTAATGACAATTTTTGATCACATACAGATGCAATTACTCGACTGTGCAACTGCGGTCCAACTAAGTTTGTACTGGAGTTACTCGCTTCTGTAAAAATAGAATGGGCCTCGAGTTCCTGTGAAAGTGTATCCGACATCTTTTGCGCCATTGTTGAAGTAGGATTCAACTGATTCCCTAGCATATGTGGAGCACTGACCCCATTTTGAAATCTAATATAAAAAAAGACAAATTATTCCAATTATATATTGCATTTGTTCAATTGATAAATCCTTGGATCTGTTTGCGAATCTTACAATTTTACATTCTCTTCCTTTATTGTTGTAAGAGCGGTCGGTGTAGTCGATGCAGATGGAATAGGTGTAGATGCGGCAGCTTTCCTCTTTCGTTTACTGGTGCTACTGCTCATACTCTCCGATCCAGGACTGCTAGGCGGTGACTCCTTGACTGTCGGTCCCATAATGTTTGCAGGGCCTGTGCCGCTTACACTGCTGAAGTGTCCGATGCCGGCTGTGGGACCCTGAATTATTGTCGGGACCGAGGTCACAGGAGTCACCGTGACGGCCGGTGGAGGAGTGTGATGATTATTTCTCGCGCCCCTCTTGGACGTCGCCACAACTGCGGTGCTGGATACGGAAGTTACGACTGACGAGGCCGTCTGCAATTGCGGCAGGGCTCCTTGGCTATTGGACGAGCCGCGCTTCGGCTTGCGCGATTTCTCTTGCTTATCCAATGATTGGGAACTGAAAAGTATCGCGTTTTAAATGACTATCGTGAATTCTATGAAGAATTACAGCGTGTAAATTGAGGTCAAATTTTGTTCAAATAAAAACTAATCACTTGATACACAAACACAACTGGTAAATATCGATTGATATGGACAAGGTGAAGTAATAAATTTCTTATCAACTTATCAATAGTTCGTCTACAGTTAAAAATGATATGAAAAAATTTCGAAAAAAACAAGACTATCGTTTTCAATAATAAAGAGTAAGGTCAACGCACACTGAGGTGAAGCACCGCGATGAGGTGGCAGTTAGAGTGTCACGTTACACCTTTTCGTCGTTCGTTGCCTTTGAGGCATCTCGCCGAAGCGAAAACAAACATAACCTTGATCTCTCTTATTCGCCACAATTCGAGATTACACGTTAACAGAGTCACGAGGGCGTCCAACAGGACCCGCAAAGTCCCTCCTCCCCGTCGTCTCGTCAAAATTACGACGCGACGCGCGATTATCGTAACGCGACTATTCGCGCGATGCAATTATTATGCAGCGCGCGCCGAATGACCTCGAGTGAACTATTGTGCCCAATACATAGGTAGACTACTGTTATAAACACACTCCATTCTTCGCGGCACTCACGATCGGCGATCCAAGCTCGTGGCACTCGTCTAGTCGACGCTTCGAGTCTCGAGGCTTTTGCACGCGACGCGTTCGCACCCGGCCCGGATGGGACTCCCTCGGGAACGAGAAGACCGAGTCCAGCGTTCGGGAAGAGGTTAGAACCAGCCACCTTGTTTACCAGTCGCAGCCGCCATTTTGAAAACGATGCGCGACACTTGACCGAAGGCACGTACGCACCTCCAACTTCCTCGGCTGCACTTGCACTCGCACTTGCACTTCACGACACGTTATACTGCGTGCGACATATCTTTCATGATGCAAACGTCATGTATACATTATCGAGGATAAATTTAGTAATACACTAATGAACTCTCTAATGAAAAAATAATTATAACGATAATTACAGTAGAGCAGTAACAAAGATGCGCTTTTTCCATCATCTTCATTTATATTCTAATTTAATTAAACGTAAATTAATTAGATAAAATCTTTTCCTTGAAAATTTTTGTGGCTTGAATTTCGTACAATAAAAAAAGATACCACGTGTATTTACGCTTGTAATTATGCAGAAGATCGATTAAACTTCTAATTCGAAGCCAGTTTGCGATGGCGAAATGATTCCTCTCCCTATTTCTAATGGTGCTTCGATAGCGAGAACTTACCGAGATCGTTTCGCCGGAGTTTCCTCGGCGGCGAATCTCTCGGTGGTCACCATCGCGCTGGATCGCAGCTCGGTATTGGCGGCCGTGGTGATTATACTCTGCTGCAGCTGCTGGTATATCGTCGGCGCGCTCGTCACCACGCTCTGAACTGTGTTGGCGAGCGAGGTGGCGATCAACGGCACCGAGACGACGATGCTGTTCGACGTAGTTGTCGGCGACTGAGTGACGACCGAGGACTGGGATTGTGTCACTGTCATTATCACAGGTGTCGTGGTTGCCTCTGTAGCAACCGGCGTATTCGACGATGACGACTGAATCGGGCTCTCCATTTTTGTCTGCAATCAAAGATTGTGATAAATAAAACGCTATAGACATATATTTTGATTAGTTCAGATTTTTTTATTATATACAAGTAACTGGAATTCCTGGATGAAATTTCCTCATTGATTTAATCAACGAATTAATTGAATTGCTTACAGAAAAAATCTTAAGCTCAAATATAATTCACTGTTTCTAATTTAATCTTTCTCTCTCTTTCTAAAAAATTGTTAATTCTTGTTAATTAATAGAATACTGCAAATATTACTGATAAATTTCTCGTAGATTGAGTTAACTAAAGTTTCATTTCAACGGACGTTTCTATCGACGTTGTTTAACTTTAATCTTAGCTTAACTCATTCTTTATCGTTTTTTAAAGGAACAGAAGGAGACGAAGAATGAGTAAGCTAAGATTACAGTTAAACGACATTAGTAAAAACAGGTGCATAAGTGCACTAAAAACTGAAAATGAATAATGCAGTGTAATCATATTTTTCACTTTGTTTTTAATCGTGTCGATTTTTTTATTAGAATCTTGTTGGAATTTTCTGAAATATCAATCTTCCAAATGTCAAATGTAAACAAATTTTATATATCTAGGTTTACATTTCTTGTAACATTTATCGGATTTTCTAAGAGATATTGAGAAGAATATCTAGGTTTACATTTCTTGCAACATTTATCGGATTTTCTAAGAGATATTGAGAAGAATCTCAATATCACTGATTATTTTATATAGATATGACTAATTAAACTTTACAAGACAAATACTTGAAATCAGAACGTTGTTTATGTATTATTGTAAAAAAATTCAGTAGCATTGAAAACATTCAACAAAAATGTAAATGTTTACTTATCTTCTTGACTAATTTAAATCTGATTTTGTAAAAAATTAATTAATTTTTAATCCATTGTTTTTCTATTCATTATTCCAATATTATTTCAAAATTTTATAATATTAATATCTGAAATTTTTTAACGCAAATTTTTAACTAAATTTATATTCTAGAAATATGATAGTTTAAAAAAATTTTAAAAAATCCATTTGTTTTATTAGTTCAACTATTTTTTAAACTAATTGTAAACCTGAGACAACAAAATTTGCACTTATCAAAGTCCACTCTCAACTACAGCTTATAGACAATTATTCTAGATTATTAATTAATTATTTTAGATTTAATTATTCTTAGATTTATACAATTATTCTAGATTTTAATTATCCCTATGCTGTAGTTGAAAGTTGGACTTTAGTAAATGCGAATTTAAATTTGCACATGAATATTGACATCAAACTGATTTTTAATTGATAGTTACTAGTGTTTTTGAGATTCAGATTTAATGCATACGTGAATGTGTCTATATAAGATGAATAACGAAATCAGCAAGATATGTAATGTACTACATTTAATATTTTTTATTTATATGTTTCAATTGCTAGTTCAACATTCAAACTATAATCTTGTATCAAAGTTGCCGGCAAGTTTTAAAACAATTTATTATCAAGTGACTAATACAAGAATTAAAATAAATAATTTCAATTTTTCCAAATTTAAAGATTTAAACAGCTTAAAATAATGAAAAGACTTTCTTATACCTTTTTCGATTTTTCCGGTTCCGTCGTTGTACTTAAACTCGTGGCTTCGGTGATTGTTGGCTGCACATTGTTGCTCGGGATGGTTTGCTGCACGACACTGCTAACGGCCACCACGACCGAGCCGCTAGTTTCTGAACTGGCCGACTGGTTCGAGTTCTCGTTTCCTATCACAGTCGGCGTACGTGCTCCAGTCTTTCTCTTCTTGCTGGTGTGACTCGATGTCTTATTGGAAGTCGACGAATTGGATTTTCCCTGACCACCGATGCTCTTGTGCACCGCGTTCGAATTGCTACCGCTTGTTTTCAACGCGGAAGCGATTGCTGCCGTGGCAACAGTGGTGACAGCACCGGTGCCATCGTGCCCAAACACGCTCTCCGACTGTGTGACAATAGTCTCCACAAAGTTGGATGTCGTAAATTTGCTGGAACTCGTGGAATTATCTTTAGGCGTATTACGACCGCTACCACCACTCTTGTCATCCATTACGCCATTTATCTCTAAACTGGGACTAGCATTGGATTTACTTTTAGAATTCGCAGTGGACTTGGAACTCAAGCTCTTCCGTTTGCCGCTCGACGATTTTATCGGTGTTTCTGCCTCCTTCTCCGGCGACGAGTCCGACGAACCATTATCGGCGGGTATCGGTTTGTACGGTGGTATCGTCTTTACGTTGCCACCCTTTTTCTGAAAATTAATCATTTACATTAGTTGGTAAACTCTTGAAAGAAAGCTAATATTCAAGAGTATAAATTACTGACCAATTTTGAATAATGATGCTGGCAATATCCGCAATATTTGACATTATCAAGATAATTGCCAGCTTCCTCGCAAAGTAAGCCCAGAGCCTGTGCACATGTGACATGAAATTGCTGCCTGCAGCCTGTCTTGTTACATTGCATGCAGGCTCCCACATTTGCTCTGCTACCTCTACCTTGTTCCTCACAGATGTAGCACGTCTAAAATCATTCCATTTGTTTATTGTAAATAACACAAAATCAAGCTTAACGAAATAATGACTTCTTTTTTCAAACTTGTAGTATCAAAATGAAACATTTACCTTGCTAAATCTTTCCGAAGGAATAAGATGCAATATAATTGGTTCCATTGTAGTCACGTTACCAAATCGAACTTCTGGGATATAAAGAGCGCACACAACATGCGCCCATCCAGCCTGATCTGTTCTCTTAAGGGCTCCATCTCGACTCGGACATAACTCACAACGCTATAGAAAAAGCACATTCCCAAATAATACAACTCGATAAAAATATTTATATCCTACCATAATAAATAAAGGAATATCGAGTATCTATTGAATCTGTCATGGAAAAATACATACCACCCGTGCACTGCGTTCTTGCGACTCGCACTTCCTACAATACCAAGGTCCTGTTGGTACAGTGACAATGCCATAGCACGCTAAAAAACAACAAAATTTATATTATAAACAATCGATAGTAAAGGAGTTCTACCTCCTCACAAGTACCTTGATGTACAGCAACGGTACAGCCCTGTCCATCGCAGTACACCAGCGGATTCTCTGTCCATCCCCTCTCGTCAGAACACACGCAGCACCCTCCGAGCATCTCCTTCATGCTGTGCCCCAAGCAATTCGGAAGACGAGACTAGCATGAGGAGCTAGGCGTGGGACCGCGAGAGTTTGCTACGTGGAGCGGGCAGGCTCGTGTCGTGCACGTCGCACGATCGCATCTTGATGACGGACGCGGCGTCGAAACCGGCGACAACACCAACCTCCCCTTCTCGTCCACGTTCTCCTCCCCGATGGCGGGTCCCGCCACTAAGATTGCTCACGTATCTCTCCGAATAAAAGTTACTGGCAATGAACGTCGAATATGCGAGGGGAAGGCAGGAGAACCTTGTCCCGCGGAGTCCACGCTACCGCGAGAGGAACACGCGGGACACGTCTCGCTCTCTTTTGCGGAGGGTGAACGCGCGTCGTCCGCGAGGGGGTCGCGGGGGGCTCGGCGATGTCGCGGAAACGCACGCGCGACTCGTACTCGGGGCACGCTCGAAACGTGTTCGGACGGTTTGGTTTGTGTTATTTACGACGGCGCTCTATTTGTTTCGTTGGGAGGCCATCTTATTTTTTGCCTGTCGCGCGCGAGCCGCGCACGCGCGTCGCCGCCAAAGGGCGCGTACGCAAGTCGCGGGCGCCTCGAGACGCGATTGGCCGAGCGACTGTCACTGGGCGCCCACTCTGCGTCCGCCGCCCAATAGAAAGGCGCGTTTTCTAGGGATATTGAAATTCAAATTTATCTCATGCACACAAAGAACGCGAATCGAGACGATACACAATCGAAGTTTCGCGGTCTTCGAGTCGAGAATACGAGATTCCTGTCACCGACTGCACATCACGAAATTGAAAATCTCGCAAATATTTAAACAAGACGGTGAATTCCCCGATAATAATTAATAAATAAACGGCGCAGTTATAGAAAGATGTATTAGTATTGTTATAAGAGAGGTATCTCACCGAGAAAGTAACAGTCTTACAAAAGTAACAGTTCGTGCCAAACTAGCGAAACGATTCTCGCATTTTCGACTTTTTCCATCTACCATTTTGTAAGTAATTCTTTATTCTTGTTAATAAGAAATAATAGTAATAATAAATGAAATATTGCGTATTATTTTTCACATTTTAATTTGATATAAAACTCATTCTTTATAATGTGTCATTTATTTCCGTATAATAAAGCTAATACAATAAAAATGAATTATAATATATAAACATTAATAATTAAAAAAAATTAATATTTTATAATTAATATCTTTTGTAAAAATTCTGTTGAAAAATTATTGAGTTAGAATTTGCCTGCTGTATAAATTTCACTCTTTTAATTCATGAAATCAACACATTATTGTCATTTATTAATATTTTATGTTAAAATATTCACGCCAGATTTTTAAATAAATGGAATATTTTATATTTATAAATATAAATATAAAGATAAAATGATAAAGATCTATAAACATTTTTTTATCAAAAATAATATTCATTTTCAAGAATTGATATAATGTAGAGTGGTAAATTTATTTTATTCCTATTGTTAACTCGCACGATGGCATCGATTCTTGTCTCGTTTCTAACTCGGGTATCGATACGATATGCGAAATTTATCGATGATACCGTTTCACGCAACACTATCGTTTCGTAATGCGAGCATATTTTCTGTATCGAGTCGAAACCCGAGAACTTAAACCGGATACTGATTTTATAATCCCGTTCTCTCTATGTACGACTTCTCGAGTGGAATCAGTTCCTCATCCGCGGTAGAGAGAGCTTTATGTATTTCAAATAGTCAAACAATGACGGAGAGAACAGAGGAAAGATATGTTCGTGTTACTGTGCTAAGTGTAACGAAAGCTATATAGTTTTCCGCTTTTGTTTATTAGTGGAAATCGGCGAGAAATATTTCGGAAAATCTGAACAAACATTATTATGCAAGGATTGCAATAATCATTTTACACAATTTATTAGAAGGATTCAGGCAACTTGAGGCATTCTTACAGAATCATCCCTTTATGTTAAATCTTCGATTGCTAAAAAAGATTTTACCACTCGCAAGTTATTTACGTATAATATATTTATATACGTATAATAAAACGCGATCGTATAATGATCTGTGAAAGATTAATTTTTCAAAAAACGATGCGAGAATCACGAACGACCGAGACAACTCACCACGATTCGTCTCACGACGTGTGATTCTAAATATATCCATCATATATTTTTGCTTCTCTTGCGGCCTTGCACAATTACTGACTCATATATGATACGATGATTCTGCTTTTGTAATGTTTTGTTTCCTGTTCTCATTGTGCATTTAATATTGACAGTCGTATCGCAATTATATCGCATTCACCTATAATCAGAATTTAACGAATTTTATTAAATAGAAAAGATGTAAATAAGAAAGGATGTAAATAAAATTTTGTTCCTATTTTTTACGAATAAATATTGCAAAGTATTCTTAAAATATCTGGTTAAATTTTACCAGTGTATTCTACTAAATTAATAAAATGCGAATATAAATCCATAAATGCCTTCTCTTCTTGAGTTTAAAAAAAATAATCTCTTTTCAAGTATAAGTATCGATTTTAACAAAAATTCAATGAAAATTATTCGTCAAGATGAAAAAGATAAAAACAGAGATTTATTAGATATTTATTTTTATTGCTAACAAACAAACTAAAATGAATATCCATCTTCGTATCCGTAATAATTATAAAAAATATTTACATGCTTTCCGCTGACATTAAAAATATTAAAAATACAATTTTTAATACTTTAAAAATACAATTTTTAACATTTTTAACGTCAATATGGAAATATATTCGTTGACGTATTCGCATGATATTTTTTTCATTGATATGCGATACGATAGTAAAATTTAATCAAATATTTTTGATACTTTTGATATCAAATAACATTATTATTAATGTAAATGCAATTATACGTTATATGAATACGGGTATACGTTTTTTTTTTTCTGCGCATTATATAATATATGCGAAATATATAATATATTAAGTTTAATGATACTTCGCTTGCGCATGTCTAATTACTTTTCAAGAGCTCATGTCACTGAAAAGAAGCAAACAATTCTATCAAACTAGTCGAAAACAAATCAATATTCTTGTTGCAATCAACGATTATGTATATTCATTTAATTGGAGTCAATGTTCGCTCAATGATAATTAGCGTTGCTATAAAAATAAACATTACATAAATACGTGTGCAACATCGATGAAACATCGATAAAATCCGATCTTTTCAACAGTGAATGTTACTGTGTCACATATTGTAACTTGCATGTGTTTGCGCGCTATCAATGTATGTGTAAAATACAGTATCAATTATCAGGACTGTACTTATTTACGAGCGCATTAGAGGCCTCTCTTTTCAATAACATTATTACAAAAAAAACACATTTTTTCAATACTTATTAAATACTTATTTAATATTTATTTAATACTTATTTAATACTTTTTGAATACTTATTAAATAAGATATATATTGAAGATGTATATAGATATATAGATATATATTAATCTTTAGACTGCCGGGATTTGAGGTGTCAAAACGTCCTTTAAAAGTGCCCAAACTTGTGTCTTGTATCATGCATCAACTATATACAAAGTTCATATCATGGTTCGAGCCGATATATCTTTCCGGCTTTCCGGCAGTCTAAAGGTTAAATAAGATATATATTTAAATACTTATTAAATAAGATATATATTGAATATGTACACACATAGATATAAAAAATGGATAATAAAAATATAAAAGTAAAAAATCATATATACAAATATGTATCAAGAAAGAATAAGAATTTTTTTTTGATTCTGTCATTAACTATGTCATAAAATAACAATAATTATAATGACAGTAATTAATATCTCTACAAGATTAAAAACAACAAAGCAATAGCATTGTAGATATATATATATATATATATATATATATATATATATATATAAATGTTTACTCTTTTATACAAAAAATACATTATCTGAAAAACTACTTGTATATTTGTGCATTCTTTTATATTGATTATTAAATTACTGTTAAATAATAAATTTCGTCATAATTTAGTGCATGCATCTATCCGTATCATGTATTTTTCTTCGAAAAATAAAGCATTACGGCCAGGTTCCCAAGATAAGTACAGCACTGTAATGAACTGTATTTCAGCACGTTTATCACGGATAGCTGTTCAGTATACAACGAACAGTCATCGTGCTAAGATCTCTTCAAACATGAGGTATTATCTCGAGTATTATTGAAACGACATTTAATTTTTATAACATCTCTTTTAACATTTTTGTATTTCTTTAATATTAATTTTAGTATTTCTTGTAGTTCTTTAGTATTAATTATCAAGTAATACCAATAAAAATAATAGAACAAATTTTTAAATATTTTCTAATCGTATTTATATATTTTTCAATATTATTTTATAAGTTTATAAACTTGTTATAAACTTAAACAAAACATTAAAATATAAAAATTATATATAATAATGTATGAAAATTATATATCAAAATATGTAAAAATTAAATGATATTTATGTAATTCTTATTATGACATTATTAAGACTAATTATTATTATATCCATCTGCGAGCATTGATTGCCATATAATAAGTATGCACAATTGAATTGCGACAGAAACACGTCATTTCCTGCCATTCAAAAATATAGACAACATTTCTGAAAAGTTATGATATTCCTTATTTGCACGAACAATACTTTTAGCTATTAATTGTAAGCGGTATGTGTATAAGCAATTTTTTAACTATTAATTGTAGACGTGTATATGTGTAAGCAATTATGTATTATCTCCTTGAAATTTTTCGTTTCTAAAAATACAACAAACATTAGTAGTGACATTGAGAAAATAGATACAAAATTGTTTAATTTAATATAAAGATAATATAATTGATGATATACTTTATCAATTTTTTAAAATAATTTAGTTATCTAATGTTGATGAGTTTCTCTCTCGTCTTTCGAAACAATCTTTAAAAACGATTAAGATAATATTTATTTTCCAGCAAAACACGCAAAAGAATGCCCTCTTATCGGCCTTGGGGCTCGACAGAGGATGGTCGCATAGAATTCGAATCCTTAACAGATGAAACCTTGGAGGGTGCTCTAAAAGTGTTAAGAGAGAGCTTCTTCATCAATGAGAGTGTGTCAAAAGCCGTAGACATAAATTTGGAACCAGGAGCATCCGAAGAACTCGAAGAACTTTGTTTGAACGCTGCTAAGGATGGCGTCAGTGTAGTGGCTATCGATATCACCAGCAACGAGGTTGTTGGCGTCAGCTTCAACAAAATTCAAGTAAGCGAACATTCTACTTTATTTTTTCAAACTTCTTTAGTATAAAATATTAATTTAAAAAATTTAATTTTTTTTAAATTACATTTTATTATATTTAATTTTAATTTTAATTTAATTTTTAATAGTATAAAACTTGCAATGCAAAATGATTTAATATATGTACCTTGAGTAATGTGTTTTTCGATTTCCCAGGTATCCGACAGCAGCACGGAGAAGAGTTACTTTGAGCGTTTCAGCGATGACTGTCAATATAAATCATCCAAGGCTTTGGTGGACTTTATGATAGACATAGACTCGAGGATAAATCTCTTCAAGCATTACAATGTCAATTGCATTCTTGAAATCATGTTTCTGGCGACACATCCCGCCTACGAAAAACGACGAATAGGTGAATTGCTAGTTACTTCATCATTAGAGCTCGGCAAAGAATTAAGACGCGGCAAAAATGTGAGGACACCTGTCACGATACATGGCAGCGATGATTTGTCAAACGCTGACAAGATACCAACCTTGGCTTCTGCGATCATGACGTCCAATTACTCGCAACGAATTGCCACGAAACTCCACTTCGATCAGTTGATAGAAGTTTCCTACGATGATTTCGAATTCAACGGTAAGAAGTACAGTGAAAAAATAAACAAGGTACATCAAAAGTGCGTTTTAGTGGCCAAGAGACTCGCATAGACATAGTCGATAATCGTGCAATTTTATCGTTTCTGTAGACAAAATTTGTGACTTTGTTAACGTTTTTACATTGTATTTCTATCTTCTTTTTACCATCTCTGATTTTCACACATTTAAAAAAAAAGTTATACATAATATAATATATAAACATATAATAATAATATGCATTTATTTATGCATTTATATGTTTATATGCAATATAATTTAATTTTTTGCATAGTAAATTTGATACAAGACTTCAAAGTTATACGGTAGAAAAACATAGAAAAGCATACAGATAATTTATCTGTATCTTTAGAATGCATGAGAAAGTCAATAGATGATTTATCTTCGGAACGTTGTTTGTTCAAAAGATATTTTGCAGTAAGATATTAAAAAACCGATATTAGAGTGTCGATATTAGAGGTAGAGATAATTCTTTTTTAAGTGCTGAAAAGTTAATTAAATGTCTGATCAGGTGTTTATAATCTATTTAATACATCAACATATGTATAAAATCGCATTATTATGTTTAATTTTATACATCAATTCTTTTTCTTATCAATCTTAATATTTTTTACTCAAGAAAAAATAATTCATTTTTAAATTAAGAACTTTGTGATAAAAATTAATATATGATTTATTAGATTTGAAGGAATTTTCATGTAAAATTCATAATCTTTTTTAATCTGTTATTTAAAAAAAAATTTTATATCCGATTTCGTCAACAACTTATATATGCGATTAAAAAAAATTTTCTAGAGAAAAAAATAGAATTTCTTATAATATATATAAGAATTAGAATAATTATAATATTAAGAATATTAAGAAAAAATAATGTTCTATGCAATCAAAAAATATGTTGTATTCTATAATATGGAACATATTTAACTATGCTATAAAATATATTAGAGTTGCATGCAAATACAAGTAAATACATTACAGAGGACAAATTGCGCATTGATGTTATTTGAATACGTTGCTAGTAATCACGACAATGCCATGATAGAATAATGTTCAAAAGAGATGTTCTATGACATCACACATAATAGAAATATAGTCAATTGCGAAGGAAAAATGTATTAGACTAAAAGATCTCATGCACGCAATGACAATAAAGATTAGTTGTAGGATTAGTAACATATTTTTAAGATTACATAATATGTTAATATGAAGGCTATTTTTATCGTTATTTGTCTGAATCAAGCGTCAGTTTTATAAAGTTATGCAATGTTGCGAGGGATCAAATATGATTTAAAAAAAAAAAAGAAAAGAAAAATCAAATATTTATAAATTTTTTTTTTCCGATGATTTTGTGACTTTTTTTCTCACATCCCTCTTTTACTAAATAAGTATTAAGTATTGGACATATCAATTATATAATTTATAATTTTTTTCTGTACAATTAATATATTAATATAAATATTATATAATATATAGAATATTTTGCATAATTAATAAATTAATCTTAGATATTATATATAATTATATATGTATATATATATATATGTATATATATATATATATATATATATATATATATATTGAATATTATAATTATTAAATGAAATAAAAATTATAGATTACATAATGATTTAATAAATTTGAATATTGTTTACAAACGAACTCATAAAAAACGAGAAAGAAAGATACAAATCTTCTCCTATTATAATAAAGTAAATAAAATGTGATAACGATAACGAAAGAAGATAATGCTCAACATAATGCTTTACAATGTCTTAATAATTACGCATAAAAATTGCGTGACTAGTTATCATATTGCTACGATATAGTATCTGCGAAACATACTCGAGAACTTGATCGAATTTTTATTCCGATTAGTTTATAAAGAACATGCACTGTGCTGGCAGTAGACATTATTCGTGAATTAATTAGGCAGAAGACAGCAAGAAGTACAGACATATCTCATTTGGTGCATCAAAATGAAGTCTCGTTTCTTTTCGTCGATTAAAACTATAATTTAAGGAAGAAAATATCTCTAAAAATTATAAATATATAAATATATTTATAATTTATGACATAAGATACCTGTGTGTGCTCCAAGAGACAAATTTCATGAAATTAACGGAATTTTTTATAATTAAAAAAAGAAACGCAAAACACGAGTTTTTAAATATTTTTGACAATATTCTTTATATAGTGATCATCGTATTCAGCCAATTGAGTGTAAATGTTTATAGTGCAAAAATTTACGCTCAATAAAGTTATCGGATCCGACACAACGCGAAATCTCATTAGAAAAATCGGAGAAACGGGATGCGCAAGACAAGTATAAACTCACGCTTTCGTATCGATCAGCTATAGCGATAGCTATAGCGTTTCTTCCAGGCAAAGCTCAGATCAACTATGCCCGTCTGTCTCGGGACCGATCGCACCGGGGCCATCGAATTCAGGATCCTCAGCAAGGACCGAATCGAGGACGCCCTGACTGTGCAATGGCAATCGATGCGCCAGGAGTGCATCGCGATCGGCGTGGGAATGTTCGAGGATTCCGGTGCACCTGAAGAGATGCAACTGGTCTTCAGAGAAGTCATTAAGGACGGATGCACGGTGATCGCGGTCGATCGATCAGACCGTGTTGTCGCCGTGGCATTCAACAAGTTATACGCAAGTATAGTATATACATAGCGTTACATTGAAGATTGACGTTAGACCAGAGTCATGCATTATTAAATATTTTGTGATATTGTTTAAATAATCAATGATTCATTCTCGATATCTCTGCATATGTTATCATGTATTGATATATTAATTAATAAGCAATTCACGCATCGATATCTTTAATAATTAAAAATTAATAATTAAAAATTGCGATATAGTATATTAGAAATTTTCAAAATCAGGAGTATTATTTTTTTACTTGCATTACATATTTTAGTTGATGTATGTATGTCGGATGCTGTGGACGTATTAAAATTGAGAACAGATAAAACTGAGGAGAATTATTATAGCTTGCACGAAATGTGTATTTATATTTTTAGGCGCCTCCTAAGTCGGGAGAAACGGATTCCTTCGCTCTTTTTATAGAAAATAATATCAAACATCGCTCGTGCCGAGATCTGATTGAGTTCCTTGATGACGTGAGTTTGTTACTTAAATCATTTTACACTGCAATCAACAATACGAGCGCTTTTTTCTTCATATCTTCAATTCTTTCGTCATAAATAATGATAAGAATATCACAGCTATCGTTACTTTTTCGTGATAATAATTAATCTTCATAAGCTACTAGCATACATCATCTCGTTTAAAGGAACTTTACATTTGCTTCAAGTAAAATAAAAAATTATTTTTATACAAAGTATTTTTATCTTATCATATCATTAGTTGCATTTGTTTGCCGCTTTAAAATTTAAAAAGTCTAAAGTATTCATTGTTTTGCTAATAAATATCAAAAATGCCTCTAAATAATTCTTCATTAAATATAAAAAAAATCGTACAAAAATTTTTATAAAATATGTAATTAAAAAAACATATGTGCCTCTGTGTCAATTATCTACGAATTGTAGGTGAAGATCGCGTTTTTCCCTTTTATTAAATCGAATTTTACAATATGTTCTATCGCTTGATCGAAATATACTTACTTATAGTCAAATTTGACAAACTTATCATTTATCAAGAATCATGTTATCAGGTGGAATCACGAGTAGACATCTTTCAAAAATACAACGCGCGTGGTGCCATGGAAATTTTCTATATAGGCACAGATCCGGAATGTCAAGCTCGTGGGATCGGCCGACAAATCACGAACAAGAGTCTCGAAGTCGCGCGCGGATTGCGCACCAGGAAGCTGAAGCAGGTCTGCGTAGCCGATAAAATCGTCAATGAACACGTACGACCAGAAGTGGCGTTCGCCGTTGCTGCTTCGGTATACAGCCAACGAATTATGGAAAAGCTGAACTTCGAGATTCTCGCCGAGGCGCGATATGAAGATTATATACGCGGTGGCAAAAAAATGTCGGATAGAATAGGTAATGTACACAAGACAGTTAAATTTGTCGCTCGCAAAATTTGATAATATCGGATTTCTGCTTGTATTTTGAGTAAACGGAGTAGTCTTTATGTCAAAATTACATCAATTTTAGAAATTTGCCTTGAAAAAGGAAACAATAATTTAATTAAAAAATTACGTAAGAAAAATTTACAATATGATAATAAAATAAATAGCGTGTGAAATTATGAAACTATATTTAAATAGTAATTATATTAATAAACTAATTGAACTAAGAATAATAATTCCAATTTGGCTTCATAATATCAATAAATTATATATATATATATATATATATATATATATATAATAAATTAAAAATAATAATAAATTATATATAATATATAATAAGTTAAAAATATGATAATTATAAAAAAAGGAAATAATGTTAGCTTGTTTACACTACCCTTCTTTAAACTATTAACAAAATACTGAAGACAAAATTCATCAATATTAAATCAATATTAAATCGTACTCAAAAATATCTATTTTTTGCAAAGCAATAAAGTTATATAACTATAATATAAATGCAAAGAGATTTAATTAATTAAGAATTACGCTATCGCTTGATTTTGATCTGAAATATGAATGAAATATATTTCGGATAGGAAAAAATATAACAATGACTTTTTTTATATAAGTATATATATGTATAGATGTATATATTAATACATTTAATGTATCATGTTTGTATCCGGAAAACGCTCAAGACTACGATGCAATGAACATCATAACTTTGAGCAAAACTGCATTTTCATTCCTAAATCATTTTCCACAAAATTATATGATGCGACCTGACATCTCTAACAAACTGCAAGCGAACTATCGCAGACAATAAATAATACAATAATATATTATAATAATATATTATTCTCAACACACAATTTACAACATCTGGATCGCAATTGTCACGATTATGTCTAAAGGTACTTCGATAAAGCCACAGAAGACGGTAACAGTCGTACGCGATTAATGTAATATAATTTCCGCGATTTCGCGTTTTGACAGCCAATGACGGAATTATTGTACGGAAATAATTAATCTATTGCTTATATGATATTTGTCTCCGTATTCGAGAAACTCTCAATAAGTACTATCAATAACCCTCGCGCATATTTGCTTTCTCTAAAGGCGCGACGATTGGAACTTTATGTAATGCTTTATTAGGAAGACACACCCAGCGTATAATAAATGTTCAGTAAAGATACATTTGTTGAGATATTTGAAAAAAACGTGAAAACCGTGCGAAAAAAGGTGCTTATTTATTGCATAACGAGGAAGATAACATATAACTCGATTATTGCATTTTGATATTCGATTTTGTGTGGAGAAAATGCGCCACGAATTAAATATTATTGCATTAAAGTTTCTAAAGTCTTCACTAAAGTTAGTGAAATCGGTTAAGGGCGAAGGAAAAACATTGTGTCTAACAATTCTTTAAATTGCACTTCAATTCCTGCAACTGAGTTCTTAGCTTTATGTTATATAAGTGCGTATATTGGCGTCTATAAATAAATTATCGAGTCTCTATTACACTACTACCCGTCGCACACACATATTTATATATTTAATAGAGTTAACAAATATGTAGAATATTATATAACATATATGTATATATGTAGAAAGTGTATGCGGAAGAAATCTGTCCTTGTACACGTTTGAAATTGAAAGCTCTGGTGCAATTTAAGAGGAGTTAAGTTCAAATTTCATGAAAAACTACATCTCTTCTAACATTAAAAAAAAACGAAAAATAATGCAAAGAGTATCAATCGATTAAAAATTAAAAACAACAAATAAAAAATTATCTATGCCCATCTTTATTAAAACAATGTTATATTTATTAGATAGTTAGATTTTTGGAATGTTAAGATTTCTAGAAAAAAAATGTTAAGATCTCTAAGAGAGAAACCTCTTGAAAAATAATAAAATGTACTTTTTTCTTGCGCCAAAGCCTTCAATCAGTTTAATTATTTTTATGCTAAACAACGCGCAAGAGTATAATCAACTTCATTAAGAAGGCTACTACTACGACATTCAGCGGTAGTCGATTTATAATAGGCGAAGCTACTGAGATTGCAAGAGACGGAGAGAGTGGCGCACCTAATTTTATTATCGTTGCACTCAGTCAACCGTTAATAAGTTACTTTCCTTTAAAACGCTTCGCTATTACTGCTATTGTAAAAAATGTGGACGTATAACTGTTTTCCTTCCAGTATATGTATATATATATATATGTATATATAGAATACGATATTGACACACTTCCAACAAAGTTAATATTTTCCTCTCTGACTTATAGTCTAATTAACTTACAGCCTAAATTCAGTAATCGCTGCCAACGAACTACATCGCGTGTCACTTTTGACACCCGACAAATATATAACGACACTTATGTATTATTACTGTTGTTATTATCATTATTATTCGAAATAGTAATGCAAATGCGTGTGAATACACTTATTGTTAGTTCAAGTCGAGTCACTCGAGACTTGTAAGTTTTGGCACGAATAATCATTTTTTTCGTTCATTCTGAGATCACTCTGAGCCGCTTTTGAACTTTTGATTTTTCTTTTTGTTCTTCCAGAGAAATTTGATTACTTAATGGTTTTATTCCGGGGAGAAGAGGAGTACAAAGTTAGAATAAACAGTTAAACATAAGTGTACGAAAAGCAAATGTTCTGCGGTCTTGAAAGAAAAATTTCAAAAGATTATAAAAAAATTTGATCATAAAGTATCTTTTTCCATAAGTGTACTGTTTGCTCGTGCACATATAAGTATAATTAAAACCATGTATTTATGTTACAAGAATTTTCCATGGATTACTTTTGTCCTCGTAAAAATAAAAATAATATGGGAGAAAATATAAACAATAGAATAAAAATAAAATAGTAAAATAAAAGTCGCTTTTACATCCATAGAAATATATAAATAAAACATTTCTGTATTATAAACATTTGACATTTATAAATTCTTTTCAAGTGAAACATCAACATAATACGTACTACATTTTTAGCAGTTTATGGAAGATGAATAGAAGAAATAAATGTAATAAAAAATCTGAAATAAAATACTTACAAAAATAAAAGTAATCCGTAGAAAATTCCCAAGCGTAAATAAATACATAAATAATAAATTTTCATTGCATATATTATACGTATATGTGAACAAACGATATATCTATAAAAAAGATACTCTTCTACAAGGGGAAGACTAAGATACTTTGGAGGAAATATGTAATCTTACGTAATTGGCACTCTGATTGATGAAAAGGAAGACATGCCTTGCTGGGAATTTTTGCTAACAGCGTAAACGGGCGGTTAACATGATTTGAAAACTTTCATCCGCTATGAAATTTTACAGGGCGAACGCTATTTACCGCGCACGGTCAGGACATACTAGTTCGTAATAGTTTGTGCGCTAAAGTTAGTGATAGAATAATGTCTATCGCATCAGTGGAACGTCGTGGAGAGATATCACACACATACGCACGCGTGCGCACGTATCTCACTCGAGCTTACCACTTGAATACCTCCCACTGTGGAGGAAATACTAAAGTGGATGTTGCAAATTTGTGCAGCAGATATAGTACTGTCTTCTCACAAGTTTGGACGAAATACGCTACGCTATCGCGTGCAATCCGCGCGCGCAGAAACTGCGAGTGTTGCAGGAAGCTGGCTCGAATATGAAATGCAGTCGTGAATCGTTAGAAAATTTAAGCTGTCGCAATGCAATTTTCCATGATTCCACCTCATCAAGGAAATCTCTGCACTTTCTGTTCTCGTAACATTCATATATCTCATATATCTCATACTTATTTAATTACGTTTAATGAACTCTTGCAAATAATTTAATAAAGATTAATTAGTTGATTAATTTATTAGCTGAATTTGCAAGTACCAAATGTCATTTCAAATTCAACTCAATAACTTCTCCAATCTAGAATGAAAAATTGCAATATTCGTATCAGTTTGTCGTCTTTTTCAACATCATTATTCAAGAGTTATATGTATTTCTAAAAAAACAAATATATAATTAATTTAATGTTGAAAAATTAATTTTAAATAATGAGAAAGAAATATTCGTAATGATTAAACGAATAATTAAAATATATAAAATATTCAATATCTCACTTCTAGCTTTTTTTCCCACTAATGAACACGTTCGAGCTTGGAAACTTATCAAGATTGCAACAATCTTAACTAAAGGTGTTCCTGTGCACGCAGATTCGCAGCTAAAAAAGTACTTTCCGCTTATACTTTGTCTTTCTTACCTTTCTAAATCCAATTTTCAGTACACATGTAATTTGAAATTGTTCGAAAAAATATATAAAACATCTCGTCATATCAAAATAAAATATAAATCGGCTATAACGTCGTCGCGCGCGCGCGTTTACGTTTGGCAAATACATAGGAAACATTCGCTCTCTCCTTCTTTTCCCACGCACTATTCTTTTTTTTTCACGAAAAGGGAAACATACAGATATATGGGCGCTATTTCTTATCACAAAAACGCGCGCGCGTCACAATCTCATTTCTCCACATTCGAAAAAATGAATCTTGCGAACGCGTGCGCGCATAAATTGCATTTAAGACAATGTAGCCGTTCAAAAATCTTCGGCCGTCTTCCACCAATGTCAGTTAAATCTGGTTTAATTCTTTTTGTAACTTCGTAATATCTTATAATTCTTGATACGTTGATTTCAATCTCGATTGAATAATATCAACGTATACACACATGTGACACATTATGATTATTATTTACTTAAATAAAAGATATCGATTTAAAACGGGTATCTCTTTAGTAATTTAAAGTTTAATTTATTTTTATTTTATTTTCTTTATTCTTAAAAAAAAAGTTAATTAAATCACAATCGGAGATAACTGACATTGGTGGAATTTGTAATCTTGTGCCGATTGGCGAAAAATGTAAATGCGAATCGAGATTTTTACCTTCTTGATCTCGCTATCGAAGGAAAAACATCAGTGTCTGAAAACAGTCGACAAAATATATCTGTCAAATGTACAACAATAACATTATTATTCCGATTATTCGGTGGACTTTGCCTCGTTTAAGTTCATTTATTCCGATCGATTTGACGTAAAAGCAACGCTTCCTTTCATCGTCCCGTCAATTCAATCAGAATTCATTTGTATGGATCACCGTAGTTAGTATGGACCTGATCGCGAGGCCAGACCAAATGCTACAGAGAGATTCATCTGTGACAAGGCTCGTGCGGCTGAATATCGGGCGGCTGAATGGTCTGGTAAGGAAGCTGAGTGTCTCTGAAGTGCGATCTGACGAGCAAACCGAGACCCAGCAGCACAACAGGAAGACCGAGCAAGGCGCAGATCAGCTCGCCCGTCACTCCTGGAGACCAGGAGATGGAACCTATTTCAAGGTTCTCTTCAGAAACAGCTTGTAATCGAACTACGCTCGAGTACACTTCATTTTCAAGTATTACAGCGAAGCTCGAGATATTTACATGCACTCATCATGTGTTATGAGAGTCATAAATAAACATGACTATAATAAATGACGTTGTAATAAAAGTTGTAAGAGAAAAAGAAAAAATACACTCTATATTAAAATTAAATTCTTCCTAGATTTAAAACTCATGCGACAAAGTAAAAATAGAAAATTTGAAATTAATTAAAAAAGCTTTTATAACTTAAAGATTAAATTTCCTAAATATATACAGAGATTTTAAATTCATAACTGCAAAAAATAAATTGTTATCAATCCTAATTGATTGATTTATTCTTTAAGCAAGAATAGCTTTAACCTGTCAATATTAAAATATCGTGGAACAAGTTTCGAAACTATGATAAAGTGCATGCATTATTTATTTACCCCCGTGTAAGTCGACGTCCATCCTGTAAATACTCCACCAGATACCGGACAACGGAAGCGACACGGTTGCGGTGGCCACGCTAAATACCGCGCTCTCACACAAGGACAGGAAGTTGAGGATCGAGATCGAGAAAACGATGTAAGCGAATAGAAAAGTCCATCCATGGCTGGACACGTTCGAGCACATTTTGCCGCCTTTAAAATGGCACGTCAGTCCCTGCTCGATAGTACGATACAATTCTACAGGCGATAAGCCCTGAAATACCATTAAAAAAATTATTTAATTAAGTAGAGAATATTTAGCTGTCTATAAGGTTTCTCTAAAAGATAAAATAATTATTTTTGTTTGTTGCAGACGTTTTTCTACTGTAATGATTAATGACATAAGAAACTTGGAGTAAATTGTCAATAAACAAAAAAAATTTTAATTTATTATTTAAAATATTTAAATTCTTAATTAATTCAAAAAGTAAGAAAATCATATTAAATGTTAGCTCTAAAGATCGATTCTTCTTCATGACATAAGTATATTTTCAAATTAAAAAATATTTATAAAAAATCGAAAATAAAAGATTTTTATTATGGAAATCTCTGAAAAATCCGAAAAATCCGACTTGCCATCGGCATATAAAAGACATATTTCTTTTCACATCACTCACCCTGCCGATGCCGGGCAAAGTGTCGAGCCAGCAGAACGTCAGGATGGCAAAAAAAGCGATGACATGTATGTAAAAGAGAGTTTGCATCACCGGCGGCTTAGGGTAGCTTTTTGGTTTTATCGTGGGATCCGGATCGGTCACGTGCAACAATCGACCACCCTCCTCTTCCGATCCACGACGGCGAATATCGCGGGAGGACACCAAACGGGACACCGTGTACAAGAACGAGTTGTGCTGCGTCGTCAACATGTGGCACACGTTTTGTTGCTGAAAGCCAGAGATCGCAAACGTCACTCACTTCATCAGTCAGCTGTTCGGAAAATGAAAATTCACTGATCGCGCGGGAAGCTAATCCGTCAAGTGAAAAATGTAATCCGTTTAAAAATTTCCAACAAAAAAAGAAAAAAAGAGATAGAATTTACAAATTGCATTATATAGTGATCCTCTTTAAAACATGATTCGCGAGTAAGTAACTAATCTCCTTTTACGTGGGAATTAAAGTATTTCCCTTTGTCTAATTAATTTAAATTCTGTTTTTTAATCTCCTCGCTGAAGGAGATGAGAACCGCGCGGAATTAGAAATCCCCTGAAGATTAGTTTTAATAAGGGTCACGACACAGTATATATCGTTGAAATTCCCACGAATAAATTTCAATTGACGAAAAAGGCCCGAGGATGTTAAATTACCCCGGTGGTGTAATGCCGTTCGAGCAAGGTGAAAAACATGGCGAAGGAGGCGAGGGCACCCACGTAAACGAACGTCCAAACTGCCCGGACACCCCAGGATCCCCTGGTAGCGACTGTTGTATGCGAGGAAACCTCCCGGCCACGACAACGAAACTCGTCGCAGAGACCATAATCAACGCTTATAAACAGACCCACTATTATGGTCGTGCTCGAGAATATTCGCTGCAGACTCATCACTGAAAACACTTACGGTCAATATTCCTCTCGTAAACTTAATGCAAAATTGAAAAGAAAAATTATTCACTCCGAAAAGAAAAAAAAATTTGTCTTTAAAATATATCTGAAATTTAAATACAAATTTTAATTTCAAAGATAAAAAATTTTTAATCTCTCTTTATGACTTTTTTTATGTAATATCATAAATATTTTCCTGGATATATAAATTATATATCCAGAAATATTTTTCTAAGTACTGACTAAGTACTGACTTTTTCAGTTAAGTAGTGCTAAGTTTCTGCGAAATAAAATTTCTTTTGCGAAATTATTTTGTTCATTACAATAATTATATTACAGGTTAACGACTTTAAGACACTCACTTTTCCGACAAAAGAAGAAGTAATAGACGAGGGAAAAGACGAGGGTAATGCCCTTTATCGGATCTTGTAAATGGCATAGTACTCTATTCCGATCGAGTGATAGGGTGACTAGGATACCCGAGAGAGCATATAGAGTGCTTATTTTGATCAGACCGCAGCGGGATATCCTGACTCGCATGCTGTTCGGTATCAGTGGTGGTGGCGGCGACACTTTATCTGCGACAAAGTACACCATCCCCAAAATGCAGGCGGAGCACAGGGCAGTGAAAAGGAGTCCTGTGAAACGGGATACAAGTCGTTAAAGAGCTAAAATCATTGACGTTACAAGAGAAAAGAAATCACCGCGAGGTTTTTTAATTATCAAAAATTGATTAAATGTCTGATGTCAATCAAGTTTAAATAGCTTTTTTTTATATTTTGTTTACCGAATAAATATTTTCGTGTTTTAGCCAAATATCAAACATGAAGAGAAAATTCAAAGTCCGAATAAAATAATCAGATTGAATATATTTTAGCAGCTGTTATAGATGTGCCTCAACTAGCTTCAAAGATCGGCATCTATTATTGGGTAGTAGGGTCGAATGTTTCGCATAACTCACATACACATACACACATGCTATTGCTTTTTTTCACGGGGAGATAATTTACATAGGTCAGCGCGAGCTGTAATGTTGGAAATGCGAGAGTTATACGATGATATGCGATCACGGCATACGGCAAATATTTTCGCGGATATAAATACACAAATTGTTTGCAGTAACTACGATCCCGAGAGATTAGGTCGCGATGCTCGAGATTTCTAATCCCGGGATTACGGGATCCCCTAATCGATCGGTCAATTCTCATCGATTCAGCATGTGCCGTACCTACATATTTAGAGCACGTGCACGTGTATGTGTGTGCGTGTTTGTGCGTCTACCTGTGTAAGCGCTGGAGACAACGGCCACACTCTCGAGATAGAGCGGATACGTGATAACGAGGACGGTTACTGATATCGCGACGGACACGAGGGTGCCCAGGAAGCGGAGCTTCTGCCAGTTCTCGCGATCGGTATCGAACAGCTTATCGCCACCGGCCTGATAAGCGACATATGGTGACTCCTCGGTGTCGGTGTATTCTTCGATCTCGACGTCGCTGCCGGTGCAGCGGAGTTCCTCCTGTTCCTCGTCGTCCATCATCGTCGACACGCAGCTCGTTAGGCTCGCCAGCTTGGCGGCTTTCTCGTTATTCTATCGAAACGAGGACGGCTTAGTATTTCGTACGATAATATATTTGTAGCCTAAATTTATCTCGACAGATTACTCAGCTTATTTTACCTCTGTGTAATCTAAATGACATCTTTTCTCAATGTAATCGTATGTTTTTAGTTTTCTGAATTATGCGAATTTAAAAACGATATCGCATAAGCGCATTTTATTTTTAGTATAAATAATAAAATTAATTTCGCAGACTTTACGACTGATACCAAAGTATTTTTAGACGGTAGTCTATAAATAAACAAATCAAGTTTCTTATTATGTTTTCCTGAATATAAAACAAATCTAGTAATTGCAATAAATTTCTATGAAATGATTCTGATAATAGGACGTGAAAATTAAACGGTCGTATTTAAGTCGAACTGCATTCATAGCATTTGAATAAGGAATTCAACTTTACTAATAGTTTGAGATATATGGCAATTACACAGAAAATGGCCGAATGATATATGGAACGCGTATATAATGAAAGGATTATTTTCACAATTTTTACGGAAAGTTTAATAGAAAATAAAAATATTAAATCAATTTCTTAAAATAGATCAAACTTAAAAGATGTATTTAAACAAATTGATAATTTATTTTGTTTTAAATCTAACAATTGGTTGTCTAATTATTACTCTAATTATTTTTGATAATAATTGTAATTAGATTAATAACTAGACAACTAATTGTTAGATTTAAAATAAAGTATTATCTTTGATAATAATTGCAATTAGAGTAAAACTATTAATTATAATATAATTAATTATAATATATATAACTAATGTTGTATATTAACTTACATTACATTTTAAATATTTTCGCATCTGTTAAAATTAATTTCTAATTACGATTCTAGATTGTGGGATTTCGCGAACCTCGCCCTTTTCACGGATCTTAATAAATGATTAAAAGAAAAACAACCTCTTTGTATTTAATATTAAAATGTAAATGAATTCTTTGTATTGTGTATATAACAAATGTATATATAAGTAAGAGTAAATACATAATAATATTTTTTGTGTATATAACAAAATGTATATATAAGTAAGAGTAAATACATAATAATCTTTTTTGCAAAAATATTGTTACAAAAATAGAGTTTATGAAAATTTTTATTGGATTGATCAATATTTTTTCTAGTAAATAAATAATAAATTTTTTTAATAAATAATAAATAATAAGAAAGTGTTCGAAATAATATCATATAAATAAAATGTTAATTGTGTAATAATTAATTTATAATTATTTAATGATTGAATAATGAAATATCATTACTCCAAAATTATTGGAGTAGAAACAAGTTTTCAACAGAGATTTTAATTTAATTAATATTAATATTGCTAAACAAATTATACATATCAATTTAATAATAAACAGTATAAACGTGCAACTGAATGTCTTTGTTATTCACATCTTTTATTCGCTTGATAATAAAAAGATATAGCCAAGTTTTCATTGATGATCAAGGAGATTCTCATTCGAAAAAAAATTCTCCCCCTATTTATACATCACTAAAGAAAGGGAAAATAATGGAGGCAGACAGTGTACACCGTCCCCAGAAAAAGCGCAACATAAACAAAGCAGCGCCTGTCATCAGACGAAACGTCAAATCTTTTCCACCAAGATTGCTTATCAGCACGTTAAGCTAATTATCTGTCAATGACAGATACGTCAAACGCTACTATGACATTCGGAGGGAAACAGAAAATCAATCGAACAACACATTGCGAATTAATCCACGTTATCAAAAAATCAACGCTTATAGAGAAAATTTATCAGACTCACCCTCAAGAAGGAACCTAACCTGACACCGCCCACGGTCGGGGAAAAACGTCTGCGTTTCCCCGGTTATTCTGGATCGTCGCGTCCCTTTTGCGAGGTACTCGCGTCGATCGCGTCGATGACGAGGGATGATAAAGACGACTACACGCGGCCCGCGTTAATCGCGAATGATCGCGAATACTGCGTCGCGCGATAAGGCAAGCCAACAGAAACCGCGACTTCATCCCATCGTTGGTGACGAGGAGAACATCCTCTTTGTGTTGCGACCTCTGCCGCCAGTCTGTCGCCAGGACCGTATTCGGCGACGACAAGCAGACCCCTTTGCAAAAGTCATCGATTAACTTTGCTTAACCCTATATTTACTTGTGCAATTTCACCATAAAATCAGAAATATATTTCGAAAATCATCAAAAAAATATCAAGTTTAAGTTGAAATGCTGTTGATTGATTAAATATCGTGATGCAATAATGATTGATATCAACAAAGTAAAGAGTTAGATAGCTTTAACATCGATTTAATCACTTTTGCATCACACAATATTAGCTTTGGAATAATTCAGTATATATTTCAATTACATTATTCATAATTCGCTGTTCGTTATAATCTAATAAAAAATTCTAGAATTATAATTGTGTTAAATGTTAATTTGAAATATTTAAAATTAAATTTAATCTTGAAAAGATTATAATATTGATAATTAAATTTAAGATGCATTTCACGCTGGTAAATGTAGGAAATAAATATGAATCTAAACAGCAATGGACGTCAAAGCCAGACGTGATATTAATATGTATATACAATATATATAATACGCCGCATTAAATAAATATGTATGCACACATTTGCATGTGGTGTACATATCGTTCTTTGATCTTATCAAGTCTTTATATGCTCGAGTGATTTTACATTGTAGCAAAAAAATATGCAAATAATCGCTTGTTTAGTTACGTAAGCAGATAAAGCCCGCCCACGTGCAAGCTCAGCAACAATGAACATGCTGAACCGTTGTTATATACAGAATAGGATATTATATACAGAAGGAATAAAGGTCCTTCCTTTAGATCCCCCAAGTATTCCAAGTAAATTACGCACAATCGTTTATTTTGCGCAAAATTCGCTTTTCACAGTGTTTCACATTAAATGCCTGGATAATTAAGCTCGAAATTAATTTTCTCTCAATGTCACATCCACGTTAAATTATGCTCAATTGCACATTCAAATCTGAAAAATGAAAAATTCATAAAGTCTCTGTAGCCTTATACAAAATTAATTAAAATATAAAAAATTAAAATTTTTTTCTGACAACGGAAGATCGGATAACGAAAGAAATATAACAAAGAATCGGAGATCGAGACAAAAAGATTCCGAGACGACGGTGCGCCTCTTGCAATATGTACGGTCTTGATTTTGCGCATGGGCATAAGATGTATGCGCGACGCAAGTCACGCTCTGCGCGCTCCAAATTAATTCTGAAAATTCTGAATTATTTGCCGTGGGATATTGAGAGTAACGCGACGTCACGACGAGAGTACGTTACATCATTCCCTTAATCCTGTCGTAATGGACATCGCGCAAACTATCATTAATCATCATTACCTGCACGAGTGAATCTCGAGCATCGCAATAATTGAGCACCGAGATAAATTGAAAAATAATATGCGATACACATATAATATTATGTAGCTAATCGAAACATCCATATCGAATTTTCGATGTGGACGTTTGGAGAAAACTTTATAAAAAAATTAACAAATATCGATAAAGAAAGAAGGGATATATCTGTGCTTCATTCAAAGGGATAGATATCTGCTTACGAGGGTGAAAATACAATGTTTTCTAGATCTCGTAACTAATGTAAAAAAAACACACACATTTTATGCATTTGACAATCCTTGAAAGAAAGCAAAAAAATGCGAAAAATTGCAAATTTTTAGAAAAGAAGTCTTTTCGCAAATTCGTTTACGTATAATTGCACCACCTAAAATTTACATGGGATTGAAGTGGAGCAAGTGGTAGCCACGAAAAATTAAAGTTCGGAAAATTGCGAGAAAGACTGGTTTTTATTCTGCTCGCACACAACAATCGCATTATGCGTTTTTCAATGGCACATTTAAATTCGAATCTTACGAGACTCGAGTCTGGCATGTTGAATAGAGAAGAAATGTAGCATTAAAAAAATAGCGGAAGAGGGAGGGCGGAGGGAAAGGAGGCAAAAAGAGAATGTGCGAGAGAAAAAAGAAAAGTCAGTATCCCGAAAGAGTTATTATTTCGAGCGGAGAATTTAATCGCGTGAATTAGGATAATAGCGTCATAAATCTAAGAGGGGACGATGTAAAATCTGCATATAAATCGTGCATTCTAGTAAAATGCAGTTATAAATATAATGGCAACGTCGTGAGATGTATGTGCGTCGATATTAAGTAAATAATGGTTATAAATATATGCATTGTGTCAATATATTTAGCGTTTCGAATCTAATGAGAGAGAAATCGATGATATATACATGCAGTACAATTCTAGCTCCCCGTAGCCTGATAATTACTATTGTTTGCGACTAACGGAATTGGTTGATTGAACCGACACTCGGTGGATAATCGAGGTCTGGGCGGCAAGTAAACGGAAACCGATCAATTCATCTCGATATAATACCCATTGTATTTCTATCAAATGACGATGGAAGTCGACTTCCCGCGAGATGAATACCACAAAGATACCGTCGACGTGGCGAATTAAATAGTCTCGTACAAAAGTTTAAAAGAAGAGGTCGGTTACGTTTTAATTAAGACGAAAGCACCTGGTAAATTGGGATACAAAGCTAATCTACAAGGTGCCTCGCTGATTCTTTGTTAAGAGATTCCGATGATTCCACAATATCGAAATTCTTTCTCTTTCAAACTTGATTCTATTGGGAAATGGAAAAAAGGGAAGGATCCCTCGCGTGACTCCTCTATAACGACAAGCGAGAAACAGACGATTTTAAACTTTTAAATGAGATGCGACGCGAATTCTTTTGCGCATCTCGGCCATTCCTGACGAACGTATTCATGCTGCATTTTTGTTAGAGCATCTCAGCTTGATTTTAAGTTTGATTAGTAAAATAAACATATTGTCTCTCTCGAAATCTCGGGACTTTAATCAACTGTCGTATTTTCTGAAATTTTACAATCTCGAAAAATAAATCGCGATTTAAAATTTTCATAAATTTATTTAAATTTCAAAGCAAGATTTTCTTAATTGTGTGCCAAGAACTTACGTCTTTATTTGAAAAAAAATTTACGTTAATCATAAAATTTGTCAATAAAATTAAAATTTACTGTTCTCTATTAAAGTTTGACGTTTCTTTTCTGTCACATGTTAATCACATGTAATTTTTTAATCACATATCAAAGTAGAAATCTCTATTGAAATAGAAAATGTTTAAATCATTCTACGCTGTCCACGTAAGAAATTGCTCAATGAAGAATTGTTGCGAAAAATCTTACGTAGATTACTTACGTCAACAATGCACAGGTCACTAGAGGCAGTGGTTTCTAAATCCGGAGAGACATATGCGTATACACGTATGAAAGCAAGGGATATAATAAGATACAATAGCTAGATTTTTATTATAGTCAGTCGACTTATATTACAGTCGATAATTACAACGTACGGTGTCTTACTTTTCTTTTTATAAATTCTTTTTATACTTTAGCGTGAATCCGTCTAACTTTGCGCCTTTTACCGAGCCGTTTTTCCGCGAATCTCGTGTCAAATACATGACGCAAAGCACAAGCGAAATTACTTCAGGCTTTAGACTCGTTAATATTCGGTACAAGTTACGAGACACGCGATCAAGCGAGATATAAAGAACGATATGCGGGAGTCGACCTTTCGAAAAACTTGGCTCGATCGGACGAGACGGTGGATTTGTACCGAAATCCTGACGCCGTGGGGGATGTCGCCCTGATTTCGAAATGATATCCACACCGCATATCCAATACAGATTTGATCAAGTTCGATTTTCATCCCGAAGTAGATGCAGTAATCTCTCATCGGCGTACAGAACGCATTCCGGTGTAATTTGCCATCATGATGCAACGGCATAATCCACGTACGCGATAGAGCAGCTATTAATTATTTCCATTAATAACCGCAACTCGATGAGGCCATCTGGGCAATCTTCTCTCGCGCAGAAATTCAATTCTATGTATCAATAAGATTGATACCGGGGTAATCTGATTAAATAAGTTTAAGGATTTAATCAAACTGCACAGAACGATTTTAAATAATTAATGGTCGGTCTAAGATTTCTAAATGATTAAGAATTTTCAATATTAATCCGAAATGTCCAAGTTCTCTTTCGATTGAAATTTAAAAATGTCAAAATTATTTTTCATCGGCAGACGAGGTGTCTCTTAGACGCAAGTGTCAGTCGTGATTGAAAATTGCAAGTCAAGAGATTCGCACGCGATACGTGATTCGATGAGGAACGATTCGTTCGTTGCGTGCGGCTCTTTGCCTTCCATTTCCGAGCCGAATGACTGAACACACTGCTGTTACGATTACTAGGTTCCGATCTCACCGCGAATTTTCTAACGGACATTTCCTAACGAGTTTTCAGAGCGCGGTGAAGCTCGCGCGCTAACCCGGCGACTAGTTAACCAAGTTCGGTTTTGCACTCGCATCAATCGTCCGCGAGTAGCACATGCATAATGCTTGTTACAGGTTGATATGACAGACCTGACGGCCTTCTAAATGCAGAAAGCGCGAGTAATACGTAAATTAATATCGTAACATATTATATTACTTGCATGACGGCTGAGCGAGCCATGTATAAATTTCAATTTTGAAATCGAATATTCCGATATGAATGTAAAATTAAATCGATTTATTAATGAAATTAAAAGTATCATTTTTAAATTAATCTTCATGATGTAAAAAGAAATTTTTCAAATTATAATTTTGTAAAAAAAAGAGAACCAAATCAAAGTATTCCTTTTATTATAGTATTTATTATAGAGTATTAAATTAATTTATTAATTTTCTCTGTTAATGAAATTAAAAATATGTTATTTTTAAATCAATCTTTATAATATACAAAGGATTTTTGTAGAATTATAATTTTGTAAGGAAAAGAGAAACAAATCCAAGTATCTCTTTACGTATTATATTATCAAGTTAATTTATTAATTTTTTTACTTATGTATTTATGAAATTAAAAGTATGTAATTTTTAAATCAATCTTTATAATATACGAAGGATTTATTAGAATAATAATTTTGTAAGGAAAAGAGAAACAAATCCAAGTATTTCTTTACATATTATACATATTATATTATCAAGTTAATTTATTAATTTTTTTACTTATCTATTTATGAAATTAAAAGTATATAATTTTTAAATCAATCTTTATAATATACGAAGGATTTTTTAGAATTATAATTTTGTAAAGGAAAGAGAAATCCAAGTATCTCTTTGCATATTATATTATCAAATTAATTAATTTAATTAACGAAATTCAAAGTACATAATTTTGAAATCAATCTCTACAATATATGGATCTTTTAGAGATATAATTTTTTCTATAAAAAATCAACAACACATTTCGATCCAACAGATGAAATTGGAAGCTTATCGATGCTTACCATAGACAATAAGCGTATCGATCGTTTGCTGGGACTGACTTCTTGGGGGATGATACAGGTGAGAGGGCCGTCCTATGCGCGCCGCGACGCCACGCGACGTCGCATCGTCGACGGGGCAGCCGTGTCACGTGACGACGGAAATCGGCGTGAAACTCGGAGCCGCGCGCGGCCTCCGTCAGTCAACCTCAGTCGGCGCGCGGCATCCGTGTGTGGCGTATCGCGCTTAGTTCCGTGTCGGAAAGTCGATCGGGCCACCGGTCGACGAACCCTTGGCACGAATCATCCCCCTGCGAGATCTCGCGTTCTTCGTACGAGGAAACGTTCCCTCGAGCAACGAATAAACGATCGATCGACGATGCAATTCGCTCCTCTCGGCTCCTCAAGTGCATCTAATTGAGTGCACCGCAAGTATTTCCCCCGACGCGACGAATGATTGTCCCCCGAAAGCGTGGATCTTTGCGATTTTCGCGAGTCCTCCTCAATCGATCGCCGGATTTCAGGAAGGAACTAGGTCGGAGGCGACTGTCCAAGTGTCCTCGATTAATCAATGTCGGTTTTGACCGGCTGCGAATCGAAGAGTGAGAGGAAGAAAGTAAAAAGACGGTCCAAGTAGAGAAAGACATTTTCGATCAGCCGCAATCCTTCCATCTTATGCTCGTTTACAACGTAATCGTTGCACGTTATGCGGCACGCACCTCCGTGACTGCACGCATTAAGGGCATTAAGGGAACGCGCGTTGCGAGCATCGAGAGCACTTGACGAGAAGAGGGGAATCGAGCGCAGATAATCGGGATCGATCACGCGCCGATTAAATTCAAAATCGAGCCAAAGGGAACGCGCTCGAATCGGAATCGAGTGGCCGATATCGAATCCGCACAAATTTAAATCGCATGATGTAATTCTGAGAAAAATACAATGGGAATAAAGACGGAATAAAAAGATAATAGAGAAGACAAATTGAAGAAAACGCGGAATCTCAACGAAGAATAAGAACCAAGAGTTTCTTCCACGAGCTGATGCAAATTGAATTAAATACGCGCTATAATTTTAAGATACGACTGCGATATCAAATACAGCGATACTGAATTTCGAGCTACACACCTACGCAAACGAGACTCTAGTGGAGCAATATTAATAAAAAAAATGAAACGATCTCGAGCAAATTAAAAACAAGAATTAAAATGTTGAAGTATGAATTAGATGATTTCGTGAAAAAGAAAAGGAGGTAAGGGAGAAAAGAAAAGGAAAGTTTTAACGAGGTTTAACACATCATTTTCGCGTAAATTCGCAAACGTGAAATCGTACTCTCGCGCACGCAATATCACCGCAAGAAATTCTCGTCGGAGATATCTTTTTCGCGTTCGAGGAACTTGTAATAACAATTCTCGCGGGATAAGAGAGCGCAAGAAACTCGAGAAGAACATCTCTCTCCTTTCCGGTTACACATCCCTTACGGGGCTCGCGGGATAATAGAAAGTAATAAGAGTAAGAATAATAAACGCGGGGAGAATAAAAACGCTTAATCCCAACGGGATCGCCAGGAAGGGAAGCACATGCTGGGAGGAGAAATAATTCCCTTTCCGATATCGTCGTAATGCCCGAATCTGCTGACAACGCGATGAAACGGAGAGACGGCTTCGTCGGGGCGAGATCTCGATAATTTCAATCCATTTGCGATCTCTTTCCCCTTCGTTTCCGATCGCGGGATGATCGAGTTCGCGCGTCGAAGTCGCAACGTCGCTCTGCGACTCGATAATTTGACTGGCATTCGACAAACTTAGATGCCACTCCGCTCTACCCGAGATCTCTGTCCACTTGGAGACAATTGTCGCGACACTCAAACGCAGTAATCGAAAGATAAGGACAGCGTTTACAGCATCGTTTCAACGTTCGAGAGAGCCCAATGCATCATACTAGCCGTTACTATGCTTGAAAAGAATCGACGCGTCTCGTGAATGGCCGATTCATCTCGCGAAAACGTGGCATGTTGCTGAGGAAACTTTAAAGGAAGAAGGAAAGAGACGGAAAAGAGGAAAGTCCGTAACGAGATGGAAGACGCGTCAAGATGTTGCGAGACGCGAAGTGAGTATACATTTTCGCTTATCGTATTGCAATTATTAGATATAGCGCGAAATATTGCGAAATATTACGAGAACACATTATATTATATTAACCTTACGGTACATTATATTAATCTTCTTCGCGGACATTTTTATTATATATTATTATATATTATTATATTATATATTAATATATATTATTATATTATTATATTATATATTATAAAATATTGTAAACTATTTACGAGGAAATTTTCTCAGACAATAAACTTGTACTTTTTACGTTAGAATTTTAATATTACTTTTAAATTTCAATATTTTTTACATCCTAATTTTTTTCAACATGGTATTATTTATTGATCGACTTCACGAGAATTTTATTAATCTTCATCGCGGGTATTACTTATTATTATTACATTATTTATTATATAATATTATGTTATTTATTATTTATATATAATTATACAGGGTGGAGCCGCGTGTTCTCGACCGCGGAATGAGCCGCATCAGCCGACGATGCAATAAAAGAGGCAAATTAAGACTTCATTCTCCGCGATAAAAGTGCCGGGCGTAGTCGGACAATTTGTAAGGGAACATCGCGCCTTAACGACGAATTAATTAATTATCAAAGCCGCCGTCGCGACATTGTTAAATCGAGGCTGGCTAGCTCCGACGGCCGGTTGGCGGCCAACCTCGTTAACGGCGTGACATACTAATTGAGCTCGTGAATAATAATTATGATTGGTAGCGCGGAGACGTGTCAACTCGCATCATGGAGCCGCACTGTATGTTAATCCGAGCTGCGTCGTGTTGTTATCCACGACGCGCGCAAAACGTCGGGGCGCCTTATCGTCCCATCTAATCCGCCAGACCGCGAAATCTCCACGGAATAAATTATCGTATATTATGCCCGTCGCTGTCGCACGCTTTACGTTCGCGCATTACATTCGATTACTAATTGATGGCCCGATGACGCGATGGCACGGTTTATTTAGACGCGTGATACGATGTTGTTTCATAATTAATCCTTCGCACATTCGACCGTTGATATCTAACTTCGCATTCGTAATGTGTAATGTATGCACGTAATTCGGTATTGTTCCCCCTCGAAATGTAACTGAAATTAATCTATAATTCCTCACGCAAAAAAATGAATTATTTATTTTTAATATTCCCGTCATGGTTTTATTTGATGGATTTATTTCATAAAATAATGTAGCGGCTGTGCAAGTTTGTGTAAAAATTTAAATGAGGATCGCAGATTTGATGAAACTTGATGCGTTCGATAATACCTGATTTCCTGGATTATTTTCGAACACGTAGATTTGTGAAGAATCTAGATCCATTTATTAAAAAAATCACGTGGTTCCGAAATGATGGGCGTGCGAGGAGCAAACGAAAGGAAGAAATATCGCGGACAATGTAACGGTTTATTTAGACGCGTGATACGATGTTGTTTCATAATTGATCCTTTGCAAATTTGACCGTTGATATCTAACTTCGCATTCGTAATGTGTAATGTATGCATGTAATTCGGTATTGTTCCCCCTCGAAATGTAACTGAAATTAATCTATAATTCCTCACGCAAAAAAATGAATTATTTATTTTTAGTATTTCCGGCATGGTTTTATTTGATGGATTTATTTCATAAAATAATGTAGCGGCTGTGCAAGTTTGTGTAAAAATTTAAATGAGGATCGCAGATTTGATGAAACTTGATGCGTTCGATAACACCTGATTTCCTGGATTATTTACAGACACGCAGATTTGTGAAGAATCTAGATCCATTTGTTAAAAAAATCACGCGGTTCCGAAATGATGGGCGTGCGAGGAGCAAACGAAAGGAAGAAATATCGCGAACAATGTAAGTGGTAGTTATAACCACTTCTGTTCGTTCGGCGAAAAGCAAATTATGGTCACGAGGGGCATTCCATTACATGCGTAATTACAAACTTGGACGAGGAAGCGCGGTCGCTCGCAAGAGCTACGGGACGCTTCAAACGTGAAGGCACGTGTGCGCGCGTTCTAATTAACTCTTAATTAAGTAATGCGACTAACAAGCGTGCGGAAACACGAAACATTTCGCATCATGTAACTTCCGAAATTCCGATCATAATAACACGCGCGAGAAATTTATTCTCTCGTCTCGATGAATCTTCCGTCTCGTCAACGGTAACGTCCGGTTCTCTTTCATTCTCCCAAATAATTTCCGACAAAGGAATATTCCCTCGATGTAAAATAATCGCATCCCTCTCGAGAAATCCTTCGAGAAATCCTTCGAGAATCCTTATAAAAATTCGTCCGATTTAATAACGCGAATCTGAAAAACAGAGTGAAATTAGACCGCAAAAATCGGCTACGTTATACGATCGCGTGCGTATCGGGAGATTAGGAACTTGCCGCGTTATTTAACATCTCGGCTCGAGAGAGTTCGTGTAACTTGCAATTTAGCGGGATACCGCATTACGCGGTTACCAGCGAGGGAAATGCCTTAAATCGGCTCTCGGATATCGCGAGATAAAATTCGCCGCTGAGGGTTAACCGCCCTACCTCAACTCGTACTCGGAACTCGCATTTATCATAATCGTGACGCCTTTATCTGCGAGTCTAGGATAAGTGGAATGGACCTGACGTGTTCGGACGGATACGCCCTGCGAGCACGAATGCTTCCCGTGTTTCGATTAAGGATTAACATCGTCTAACAGAAGCGATTGTTGATCCTCGACATCGCCGTTATCCGCGATTACACTTTACGATAATGCATCTCCCTGCGCGTCTGACACGCGCGCGACATTACCACTCTGTTCGCAAATTGTTATTCCTTGTATAATCGCGATATATGATTTGACCATTTCTCGATAATGCATTCAAATATTTTAAAATTCTCGAAACGAGAGAGCAGGCTATTGCATATTTTATCATCAGTGATATTTGAACAAGCTGTTTCAATTTTTTATCAATTTTTCGGTGCCTCTTTTTAATATTATCGAATTTGGAACGAAAAGCTTTTTGAAATAGCGGGGGAATAAATATCAAGAAATGTCATTCGATCAAAAAATGTGCATATTAAAAGGGCACGATTTACGGGATATCTTATTATCAAAATGTGTTTCCTTAAAAGCACGTAAATTATTATATTTGGGAGATGTAGTTATGTTCATAATCGGAAATAATCCGGAGATGTCATTTTTTAAACCGGTAAGCTTTTTCAATTTCATTCTGAAGATTAATGTTTAAGTGATAGATACCATTATTTATACAGCTCGGAATGATTTGACTTCGACAGTTCGCAAATGAGTTCTGTCCACTGCAACTCTCACAGCTTTCTCGTATCGCATAACAAAATTCTACGGTATTCCTGCCAGCGGTTGCGCACCAAGATAATTTAATAATAATAATAATTGGAATCCGTACACGCACGATATATATATATATATTTAATCGAATTTCAATAAAATATACATGATACATTTCTTTAAATCCCGAAAAACAGCAAATTGATCTTTTTAATAGCGTTTATTCGATTTTTATTCATTGAAAATTCGCGTAAATCTGCAAATTATTTTTAAAAGTGACATGTTTTCTATTCGCATAAAATTTGATTTTATTTATTTGCATCGATGCATGAGCCCATATCGTTGAAACGTTTTTCTAGAGGCGAGGGGGAGAGATATATATAAATGCTTTGTGTTCAAATAAGTTGCTTTGTAAAAACCATTTGCGCCGGGAATATTTTTCCTGAAATGCGCTGAGTGAAAACGACGAATTTCCATTAGCATTTATATATTACACAAATCGCTCGATATTATATTATCTTCATCATTTCGATGTAATGCAAGAAAAGAAAATGATTTGCATAGCGCAGAGAATTCGCGAAACTCGATTATACATTTACATCGACCCATTCGAATTTGGTTGATTAAAAGTCAAGGACTTGTTACGTGCGTGCAATTCGATGTGCGTTGCAACGTTCGATATGAGGGAATTAAATAAAAAGCAGATATGGAACGTGACGCGAATAGTTTCTTCGTGACAGCGGTGCAATTAATTAATGAAAGTGTCTTTATTATAGTCGATTAAAACTTTCAATTTCCTTATGATCCGTTAAGAGATCAATTCTTCTCGCTTCAATAAAATTATCTTGTTTTTAAACTTCGTGATTATCTATATAAACTCTAGTTTGTTCTTTAATTTCTTAATATCATCTATATATATTTCTACAGGTTTTTTTTCAAGAAATAAAATACCGATCAATAAGTGTCAATCGACGTTAAACTTTATCGATAAAATTAATATGTATTTATATATTTATAATAATCTAATATATTAATATATTTATATTTCTGGAGCTCATTTAATAAAATATATAACATAATATATAAATATATAAAATGTATATAAAATATATTTAAATAATACATGAAAAAATAATACATATCGCTTAGGCCCGGTTGCTCCCGGTTATTTTAGCTTTAAGCGAGACTTAAATATATGTCTGTCTTTATTTATTTAGAAAGAAAGCTAAAGATAGACATATATTTAAGTCTCGCTTAAATCTAAAATAACGTTGATGCAATCGAGCCTTAAATTATTCAAATAAAATCATTAAAATAAATTTTCTAACACCTATATTGTACGTATATATAATGCAGTCTTTAGTAATTATTAATTTGTCCTATTTCACAAGTCCTATTTTCGACGAGTGAGTTAATTTCCAAATTTGTGCCACGGAAGCCTAATATGTATGTGTGTGTTTTCGATTAAGTTTCACTTAAGGCTTCGCTTATTGTTGGCGAGGGAGAGGCAATTATACGAGGGAGAGGGAAAGGGAAGTTTGCGCGCGGTTTAAATGAACAATCCAAACTTTCGCCATAGTCGATAACACACTTACGAGTGAACGACCCTCGATCGAGAAGACCAAGTGTCCGAGGTTATAAATAAATCGCGTGTGTGTCGTATATCTAGCTTGGATCGATCTTCATATTAAGCGACTTGAATGCCTGCTTCCTATCGTTGACAAA